ATAAGATGATTATCCGCGCTCCGCCACTGATTATGTCACGTATACACACGAGCTCGCGCGACTATATAATATAATATATATAAAAGCAACAACACAACATAGCCACGCCTATGCACTTACAACAGCGGCAACGACGTTTCTTTCTCTCTCCTTCTCTCTCCCGATCTTTCGATCCCTTCGTTTATCACAATTGATGGATCACTCAAAGAATAAGATACGAGCGCGCGAAAATTTTCTTTCCGGTGCATGTGTGTATGTGTGTGTGTGTGTGTGCGCGACTGTTTGTATGTGGATATATATAAGTATCGAACCTTATCGAGCGTTATATACACGCGATCGGAAGTGAAAGTGTGTGTGAGAGAGACAGAGAGGGAGAGATTGTCCAAGCGAGATTAGGGATTGTCAAGTTAAAGAAAGCTCGTATTTATACTGCAGCCGTGAGCCATGTCCTTTTCGTCGCCGTTGCACGCGCGCGTCTATGATCCACGATCTCGAATTACCGAATCTCGAGCCATTGTCCACGAGCAAGCTGCTAAAGCACGTGAGAAAGTAAAATGTCGTTAAATTTTTTGGTACGCGAAATTTATATATCCTTCGGGTAGTTATTCAATCGGAGTCTCTCGCGCACGGGGCCGTCGCGATCGTATCCCCGAAAGCTATATTCGGTGCAGTTCGTGAATCTTTAAATCAAGCCAGTAATATATCATACGAGCGATTGGCGATCCGGCAAGCGAGAAACGGATAAATTGTCAGATTTAACAGTATAATGCGCTAGACGTGCAACGATCATCACCGCGCGCGTATATATACTTTCGATCCTCCGTCGTGGTAACGACGCGCCACTTATTTAAATTATTTCGTAATTACGGCACACGACGAAGCAGAAACGAGGATGATCGCGAGACATTGGACGCTATCGCGTGGCGGTAGTTTCATAAAAGTTTTACTTGTAAATTGTAGAATTCATCGAGTGATAATAATAGTGGGATAAAAAAGCGCAACGCGATAATGGCCCGTCGTAAAACTGCGGCGATACGCACGGCGCGCGACACACTTTCCGCCCGCACTCTCGTTCACAACAACTTCTCAATGAAAAAGTAAATAACCTCAACGACGCTATATTTATAAAATGTAAGTGCGGAGTTACACAAGCCTTCGGGAAAAAATGTCATCGTTTACGTATTATACATAAATTCTTCGAGCTTTGCTGATTTTTGCAGCGCAACATCAACGAACAAAATCAACGGCTACGCAAGTGTGTGCGTGCGCTCGCATGCATCTGGTAAAAAATCGGCGCACAGTTTGACGTCATTGTTATATAGCGAAGACGCAACGCGCACCGCATATATGCACACATGCACGCACACTGCCCTCGGCCTAAGAAACAGTAGCATCGACCCAATTTATTATACATGCATTTGCATCGGAGCGACAATGTATAGGCAGTGACTGCGCGACGAAAATAAAACGTTTTTCGGATATTTTCGTCGATTCGCGAGGTATTTTTAGACGTGCCGTGGCGTGCACCTGACAAGCTAAAAAATAGACTCTTCGGCATGCAGTTTTCAGGCATGAGCGTCCAAAAACACGTGCACTCGACGCGTGCATGTACGCACGCTTATGGGATATATGTTGAAAAACAGATTCACATATGGATTTGACTCAATTGAGGCTCATTTATATATTAACTGGTCGAAATCAAATCGTAAAGAACGAGCGAAAAGAAAGAAGCGAGAAATAACATCGTAACAGGTATTTTACAGATGCAGTCAGACGCATTATATTAAATCTTAATATCAAAAATTATGACCAGACGAATTTTATCCCTCAAAAGATACTGATCAAGGACAATTTTTGTGCTTTTTCATTCCGCAAACGATCTTTACGAGGCCGACAATCGTCTGGTCCATTATATTCGATGACCGGGTTCTTTCAATTGATAGTCGAAAACAACTTAGTTTTTTTTTATTGTTGTCGTTTAATACCCTGATATGTGCTTATATTAACACACCACGCGTCGCAATTGATACGCTAAGTGAAAAAAGAAGCACTAAATGGTGACAGTTAGCTTTTAAAAACCACATGCGGAATGAAACAAAAGAACCGCGACGACTCCCTTGTTTAAAGCATTAGATTTTAATTTTGAACAAGGCATCCGACATAAAGGGTTTTGAGCGACAATCGCATCGTACGTGGTTAGTAAGACGAGAAGTTACGACGCACCGCTCAGTGTGCAGCAGCGTTCTCAGAAAAATCTATTTCAGCGCATCGTGGGTTTCTTAGCTCGTTCGCTGCGGTGCGCGCGCGCGAAAAAAGTCGGAGCACACCCCGCGTGATCCTCCGCGAATAAGCGCGACTCGACTTACGCTTTGGCTTTATTTATAAACTGCCGCTCGGCCTACTTGTTAAAAGGCTCCTCGCCATTCATCTAATTATAGCTTAAGAATGAGAAATGAGAGAAAGAGAGTTTTATTGTCAAGTACTGGAACGAAAAGGCCGTAAGGTCGGGACACTTATACCCGCAGTCATTCTTTTATTCGTCCTAGTTGTACGTACATATCTCTACGATATTCACGACTTACTTATGTACTTACCGTGGCTATATATATACTGCACACAAGCACGCAACGCTAATACAGGGTAATGCATGAATAGCGTCTCTTTCTGTGCCTTTAAATTCAACCGTCCACGTCTATCGGCGCAGCAGTACGTGCATCGAGCCATACAAAAGACTACTTACAACCTTATATTGGTTTACACAAATAAACACGAAGCTTTTGCTCGTTGGTATTTGTTTTTGCCGAGGTTGAAACGGTTAATCGCGCTGTTTGCAGCTAGTACGGAAAGGACGATAACACGAAAGATCTCATTTTTTGCTCGCTCGCGTAGCACACGTAGATTTATTAACTAGCGGGGGAGCGGCCTCGATGCAGCGTTCCCATGCCGGTATTTTTATACATGCATATCAAAACCTAAATATGTTAAGAATAAGCACCGCATCAAAGTATATAAAGAAGAAACCTACTTTAGATAACCGGATGGACCCACACGCACATTTTGATATATATTATATACGCGAGACGTCGACAAAAATCAAGAGCAATAGTAAAGATCTTACCTTCCACCGATATTCCAACGTAGTAATACTAGTAGGAATTAATTTAGATATCAAGTACCGAATGTTTTTTCTCCTTTATTATTTTTTTTTCCTCGCACAACGAGAGCCAAACATTCGAAACACACATTTACATTTACGTGTTGCAATATTCAGTTGCCATATAGCATTGCTCCCATTGTCGTTAAATAGACAAAGACTCACGCGCGAGTAGCGCTCGCTACTGCTACTCGCGCGCGATTTCGTAAGGGAGGCTTATTACTGCTATACACCTAATGGGCTGCATACAGCACACACACACACACACACACTGACACATACACAACACACGTGAACATACACACTCACACAGCGTTGGCTGCTGCTGCTGCTTGTGTTTAAGCTTTGTTTTAGCTCTTGACGGCTTTTGATTAACTTCATCTTGCAGTAGTGACTCAACAATGTCGACTGCAACCGCACAAGCGCCTGCAAAAAGTCAAGATTTTGCTCTTATAAGTTCGAGAGCTGTAGCGATTTTTCATCGACTCGTCGGTTGGGAAATTCATAAAGCGAGAGAAAGGGAGAGAGGATTGTCATTCACGATTACGTGAATGCATTAGCGATTGTTCGTTCAGCTCCTTATGTGCGACGCAGAGAAAATTGTTTTTTATCGGAAAAATTTTACATCGCAGACTCGTAAAGAGGTGAATCATTAGAATAACAACAAAAACAGGTAAAACGAGTAAAAAGCACCTAGCTCATTGGGAGTCTTACTTGAACTTTGTTCATAACATCCTGCAACTTTCAGGTAAATGAATACCCCAACGTAAAACTTGGACGATTAGTCACTTGGAATCTCCTTTTTTCTACCTTCTTCATTCGATCCTTTTCAGCGTTCAAATAGCGACGTCTTTTACGGAATACGTCTCGAGTTACTCGTCTATACGTGCACATCGAGAACTTGGTGGAAATTTCGTTCGCTGTACATTATCATATGACTCACGCGTACGGAGATTGCGCATGCAGCGTCTTTTCCTTTAGCTCGACTTTTTTCTCCTGCGTGTCTGTCTTTGAAATTCTTGCCGTGTTCCTTTTTTGATCGTCCGGGTAAACGTGAAGGTACTACATTTCAAGCGAATTTCCCATGCGCACGTAACGTGGGCTTATATGAGTCATGGGCCGCGGCCGCTTACACTTGTGCGCGGTAGCTTATGTACGGTAGCGCAGTAAAGCAAAGCAAATGATAAACAAGTGTGACTTTTCGTAGGTCGCACGTTGCTGCGCATATGTGGCGGCTAAGCGTGGCAGACACCATTTGTCACCTTCACTTTTATGCACATGCACAGTCAGTCAGTCAGCCAGTTTCTCTCTCTCTCTCTCTCTCTCTTCCTCTAGGATTTTTATGGCGAAACGTTTATAACGTATTTATGCACACATACCGTTGCGACTTCTGATCAACATGAAATCCAATATCGAAATATGTGTCAATTATCGAATGAGATTTTAACGATCCAAGTCAAGAACAGAAAAAGTCGCCTGCACGAGAGTATATAGTTTCACTCGCTAGCATTATCACTAGCGCGAGAAAAAGGAGAAACGGAAGAAGGAGAAATAAGCAGCTTATCTTATCGGTCTCTTATAAGTGCTGCCTTATTGTTGTTGTCGCAGTCTGCACTATTGCAATCGCGCTCGGAACGATGATTCACATAAACGGCAGTAGCAAAAATCTCTGATACACTAGTCAAATGCGTTTCACAATTGTCAGTTTAATGACACGCATATAAGCAATGAGCGATTCATGTAGATTAAGAGAACACGTGTAATTTATGAAATTACCGCGGCGTTATCGCTCCTTGCGATCGCAATACCAACGATTTTTAACATGGCTTTTGTTGTGTGATTACAGGGAGGCGGCGGTCACACGGAAGGCGACGATTCCGACGAAGACACCCAGTGCGCACTGAGCGAGAACTGGACATTTGAGAAGAAGACGCGACGCTGGTCGCGCGTCTGCGACATAACGCCCGGCAACGTCGAGCGACTCCAAGCCCTAGCGACGACGACGTCGACGACAACGGCTCAGGGCCAAAGCCGAGTGGCCGGAGGCACGGCCGAGGAGGACAACAGCCTGGAGGAGGGAAGCAGCCGCTTGGAGCAGGACGAGGTGGACGACACGATGCTCGACACGCTGCGCTACCGGACCCTGCCGACGGGCGTCAGTCCCGGCGAGGAGCTGACGCCGCGCTTTCGCCGTACCGGATCCGAGAGATTGCGCGACGGTGCCAAAGCCTTCCTCAGACGTATGGAATCCCTCAAAACTCGAAGACGAAAAGATGCAAAACCAACTAATCGAGAGAATGTAGTCATAGGCGCGCCGCAGGTGGTCGACGTAGCGGGAATGGAGAGAAAGATGAGGGATATGAACTGCGTAGATGTGTCACCGACCGACGGGGCCCCGCCGGTGTCGTTTGCCGATTTGTTGCCGCTACCGCCAGCTTCGCCTCAACCACCGCCAGCTTCGCCGCTAGCCATGCCCCCGTCGCCGTTCCAACTGTCACCCTCTCCGCTGGCCAACAACACTACCAGTCCGTTCGGTGACGATTCCTCGAGTTACGCTAGCGACGGATCTCAGGGTGGAGGCCCGACCCCGCCTCCACTCACTAAGCCCAAAATGAGTAAGGCCAAGAGATTCTTGCATCGCAGCGTTCGAGAGGATCAGGGTGCACTCAGCGACTCGGAGTGTCAGCCTACCAGCTGGAGGCATCGTTACTTCAAGGACGCCAACAGCAACAATGCCAAGGTAATTGCTGCGCAAGTCTTGTTATGATCATTATTATTTTTGTTTATTATTTTACGTGGTTCATGCATGATTACAGAATTTTTTTTCTAGCCAATCTGTTTTCACGTGCTTTCGCTCGCGATGAAATCAGAAAATGAGCAAATACCAGCTCATTTTTAATGCTCCGTGAGCAAAGCTCGGGTATTCCAAATTTGAGGCGTCGTAAAAACTTGATTTTACGCACGGAATATTGAAAAAAATACCGCATTTAACAGCCGAGCCTAGCAAGCATGTTATACTAATAACGCAGCTTCATATCTGCAACCAATATACGTGTGCCTTTCAGGTTTTGGAATTCGTTACGTCAAGCCCGAGGGAATCACCGATGAAAAGCCCAGGGAGCAATATCGTCACGAGCACACCCATCAGTACCCGCGGTGGCAGTCTGAATCTCGGAAAGGATTCGCAGCGTTACCGTGACAAATATTCGGCGGGCGGCACAAAAGAAGACAAAGTATCGGCGCTCAAACGAGAGCACAAAAGTTTCTCGGTGCGACACCACCGTACCCTCGACGAGCCTATTCGCGCGGAGAAGGTCATCGCCAAGGAAGTCACGGTATTTCGAGCCGACAACATGCCGCCGAAAGCGGCCAAAATTTTACGCGGCACAACGCCGGACGTCGTTCAGGAGAGCAGCTCGAGCGTGACTCTTCGCGGCGACTCCGACCCGGAGGAGGACTCGCCCCGGCACAAGGGCAACGTCGTCAGGTGGCACAGTTTTCAGAGGGGCTCGCTCTACCCCGAACCGCTGAACCCTCTGTGTCCGCGCGCGATGGCCTCCATGTCCTGCGGACAGCTCATGGTACTGAGGAAGTTGGCCCTGCTGAAGCTCACCGCCTGCATGGAGCGATACTGTCCGACCCACAGAACCGGCTGGAATTGGGAATTGCCGAAATTCATAAGGAAGATCAAGACTCCCGATTACAAGGACAAGACCGTTTTCGGAGTGCCGCTGCTGTTGTCGCTCCAGCGCACCGGTCAGGCACTGCCCAAATGCGTGCAGATAGCGCTGCGCTGGTTGAGAGCCAACGCTCTCGATCAAGTCGGCATATTCCGCAAGAGCGGTGTGAGATCGAGGATACAGAAGCTCAAAACCATGACGGAATCTTTGGGCGACAATATCAATTTCGACGGTCAGCAGGCTTACGATGTAGCCGATCTCGTTAAACAGTACTTCAGAGAATTGCCCGAGGCCCTGCTCACCAACAAACTGTCCGAGACGTTTATTGCCATATTCCAACGTAAGTTTTACAGCCATTGTTTTTCATTATAAATAGTCATCCAGTATTACGCAGGCCTTACTCTTTTAATGATGATGAGTTATATTAGCTTACTTTTATTGTTATTCGTTTCGATTAAAGAAAAGTAAACCGTTACGAAAAAAGCACCGACTCACTTTGAACGCGCAATCGACTAATAACGGTCATTATGATTTTACATTACAGACGTACCGGGTGACCTGCGTCCAGAAGCGGTGCAGAGCGTCCTCCTTTTGCTGCCCGACGAGCATCGCGAGGCGCTCGAGACACTTTTGGACTTTTTGCATCAAGTCGCCAACAACTCGCCGTACAATCAAATGACGGCCTCGAATTTGGCTGTGTGCTTGGCTCCGAGCCTCTTCCATTTCAACCACAGCGCCGCTACTGTATCGAGCAGCAACAGGTCCAACAGCGTATCGCCGAGACGACGCAAGACCGTCGGTGTGCCCGATCAACGCGAATTGGCGGAAAACAAGGCTGCGCACGATTGTCTGCTTCACCTCATTAAGACGAATCGAGAATTATTTATGGTGAGTTACACTTAGCACTTACGCTTAGTTAGCGTCAAGCATCTTTTTTTTAAGAAAAAAGTTTTTAAATTATTATTTTAACTTTACCTTTAGGTATCCTCGGATATGTTGACGCAGTGTCACTTTAATTACATGGAAGAAAGTATTCCAGTACCATTGGAACAACTTGGAGCAGAGATCAAGCAAGATTGGAGGGGTTATTTGTACGCCTGCACTGCAGCCCTTTTGAAGGAAGGACGTGAAAAGTACGTTATTGATCTTCTCACGTCGCGCCTTTTTTTGAAATTAAATCAGTGGGTTTTTTTTATAATTTTTTTCAACGATCTTCTACTATAAAACTTCATTGCTAATCTCTTCAATTCAATTTTCACATTACTGCAACTTATATTACTTTGTTTATTAACAGAAGCCGTGGTTGGGTATCTGTAAACAATCCTGCCGATAACAGCGTTGATGTGGCGTACAAAAAAGTCGGCGATGGTCACCCACTGCGTTTGTGGCGCGTTAGTACAGAAGTCGAGGCCCCTCCTGAAGAGCTACTGCATCGTGTGTTGCGCGAGCGACACATTTGGGATCCGCAGTTGCTTAAGTACAGACAGGTGGTCAAACTCGAGTCTAATGCAGAGGTCTTTCAATATGCCACTGGAAATATGAGCCCACTGCCAGCTCGTGATTACTGTGTACTCAGGTTAGTACACTAATTATTATTCAAATGATTGCCCAAAAAGAATTCGTATTTGTTTAATAATTGGTACAAAAATTTGGTAATCGTAAAATATGAATTTATTCCAATTTGAAGCATATAAACGAAATTTTCATCCACGATAAAATCATCATTTTCAAGCATTCGCATACTTCTCGAATCCGTTATTCATGTATTACAAAGCACTTACTTTGACTTGGAGTGATTCTAATAGCTATCATCACATCATCATTGATCGATATAATATAATGTTTATATTATAATTTGCAGATCATGGCAGACAGATCTACCGAAGAAAGCTTGTGTCATCGTTGAGACTTCAGTCGAGCATCCGGACGCATCGGTAATGCTCGGTGGTACACGCGGCATCGTCCTTGCCTCGCGCTATCTCATTGAGCACTGCGGAAGTGGAAAATCGCGCATCATGCATCTCTCACGCGTCGACACAAAGTAAGTTGACGTTTACCACTCGTAGTAATATGCACAATCACGATGCACTTTGAACATTACTGTCAAGCACGTATCATCCTAAGCTCGCGCATAACGGACTTTGCTTACTGTGTTGTCTAGTTAAATCCAGAAAATTTTAACGGTTTAATTTTTGCGTGAAAACTTTTATTTCATACTTGGGTTGGTCAAATATCTTTTTAGTAACTAACAAATTTACAAACATTTTGTATCTATTTCTTCTAGGGGGCGTACACCTGAATGGTACAACAAAAGTTATGGTCACATAGCCGCACTACATTTGAGCAAAATTCGTGCATCTTTCAAACACACGGCTGATGGCCCCGAGAGTAAAGTCTGAGATAAGGCTACCGCGCAGCTATTGCTGCGCGGTAATCAGCAACAACAGCAACCACAGCAGCAGCAACAACAACAACAGCAGCAGCAGCAGCAAGCAACTGTTATAGCTGCGGCTGTAGCCACAGCGATCGATCAGATGAGCGAGGTGCAGCCGAGACATGACCCACGATACCTTAGACCACCAAACGATACGGGTGAAGACTAGTATCGCGCCGAACGCGATTATAGCGACGACCAAATCAAAAAGATCTCATCACCTGAGGTTTTGATTTGAAGTAAGCATCACAAAGTATAATCGCGTGCGAAGAAATTATATATCTACATTCAAAAGATTAATTTTTCCTTTTTTGTAAATACGAGTTCTTTGTTACCCTTTTTCAAATGAATATATTCCAATTACATGGTACATAACGTATATCGTAGTTAGATTGCATATGCATAACGATATTGTATTTATGTTGCAGATGTGAGTTTTTGTCGCTCTTTTTTTACTTTTACGGACCAAATGTCTTTTTTACGAAAATAATAAATCAAATACTATTAATCTATGAATAAATAATTACGTACATGTCTTGTACTACTTATATTGTATATCGCATTTGAATATCATTTAAATCATTAGATTAATTTAGAAGATGAGCGATGGAAAGCGATAGAAAGCGAGTATGCATAAAAACTTGAGAATGTCTATGTAAAATATCATATAAGTGGAACGATAATCTATTATTCGTAATATACTTATCGAAACTGAATCTAAGTTTCAGTGTTGTTTGACAAATATTATACATATATTTTTGAGATATAATTGTCAGGTATGACACGAGAGCTAAACCGATATATTTGTAACTACGATGAACTTTACGATGAAAAATATTAATTCTATATAAATATTTTGGATATAAAAGGCTATTCAAAAAAAGACTTAAAAAAGTTAAAATTCGATACCTGAATAACTAATATTTATATTTAAAGACTTCTTTGAAAAGAAATCTAATTTGTGTAAATAGGTATTTGTATTTTTGAAAATGTTTAAACTTAATATCGACGTTTCTTTGTGAAAACGATCGACAAAATGTTACTTTGTACTCGGAAATGTACAAAAGTGTCTATCTAAAATATAAAGATTGTTAAAAAGCGAAAATGAAGAATGACGATTTGAAAAGATGCGTCTTGTATTATATTAAATTTCTATGAAAATTCGACTAATTTGAAAAATTCGACAAAAGCGTTCCATTAGTTTCAACTTAAGTGAGTGTTTCTTAAATAAAAAATGTTGACTTTTGAAACATAAATGTTCAACTATTTCTGTACTGAATTGTGTCCTCCATGTGTTCAAAACTATTTACCGTCACCTGTAGGCCGATTGATATGTGTGAAAGCATCAAACAAATATACGCTCAGGGACCAGAGTGAGTGGTCCATACACTGATAATAATAATATGCATAATATACAAATTACGCGAATGAATACATAACGTGAAATACGTCGTTATAAAAACAAATTGTAATTGCAATTTAATACTCTTGAATTTCATCGGTAAATCATCGATGTATTTAAAATAAAAAATGCTAGTCAAGTTTAAACTTTAGTTAAGACGGTGTGCGCCTATGAGAAAGAAAATAATCAAATTATATCAATACAATTTTAAAAAAATATTGACTGGAGTGACACCGATTGATGAAACAAAAAATCAATAATATAAATTATATTCCGCGTTATTTACTGTAATGTAAGAAAATTTAAAATGAACTATATTGTGTACACATATTTAAAAAAAGATGTTACAAAAAAGTTCAGTACCAGTACAGATGTAGAAGTTATCGAAGATTTATCTGGAGAGCACGAATAAATTCGCGTAAGATCATTTTTTGCGTTGTAAGAGCCAGTATAGGTTTTCGAAATGAGACACATTGATCTGTATATATGTATAATTATGATAACTTCAAGGAGAATATATAAATATATATTCAATGAAACTAAAGTTTTTTATTACAATTCCTTTTTTAACAAAGCATACATTTTTCATGTAATCAAACAAAATATGTATTCAAACATTTGAAAAATCATTCAATCAGTAACAATTTTTGAGAAAAAGTTATAATACAGTTTGATCAATAAATCCGTCACCTAAGTGATATGAGTCACATGTGGTTTCAATCCTACTTGAAGGTTGTCTAGGCTGCAGTTTGTCGGCACAGCAAGGTAAACAACGCTACTGAATCAAAATCACTACGCCATTTCTAATAGACGGTTTACTCTTAACTGCGCTACCAAGTGAATTTGAAAATTTGCGAAAATGGTGAGACTGCTGGTGAAGAAAATTACTGATAATCAGTTTCTCTACGATACAACTGTAGACTCAAAGATTGATGATATAATTAAGGAAATAACCATCATTCACAATGGTCGTTTGAAAGTTACTCGACTAACTTACGGTTTGTATTTTATAAAAAAAAATAATTGATATCGAGTCAAATATAATTATAAGTATTATTAAAAATAGATTTAGAAGAATTAGCCAATCATGGCACGATGTTGCCCCAGAATATGCAGGGGTTAACCGATGAGCAAATTGAAGAATTACACTTGGTCGACGAATGGGGTGAAAAATGTTGCCCTTCTGGAGGGTGGACATTTAACAAAGATATAATGGGTGAGTGGTTTCTGACGTTAAATAAAAAAGTGTGCTAGATAGAAAAATTTTTTTTGACAGGTCGAAGAAACGGTAAGCAACCCAATGAGAAAATGCAAAATGTTCTGAAAAAAGCTATTGAAGATGCGAGGGCGATGATATCGAAGGTAAAAACGATCAAACCCATTGCCACGAGAACCTGAAAATTTATAATATAATATTGTAGAAACTGATAGACCAAGAGGTACTAGTCACTCAGAAAACTGTTCAGGATGCTTTGGACATTATTAAAGGTGCCGCAATGATTGTCTATCCAATGGGCTTACCACCTCACGACGTAATTCGCCTAGAATTGGAAAACAACGAAGATCTGTCTGGAACTCATGCATCTTTAGAGGTTGGCATAAGATAGTTTTTCTTCTCCTGCAATAATAATAAATTGATTGGATTAGGTTATAGATTTTGACATGGCCCAACTATGGTTTAGCGGCAAAGAATTGTTGCGAGGCAACAAATTGAAGGAATTCATCGGCGATAACGACAAGACAAAAATCGTCGTGAAAATATCGAAAAGAGGCTCAGCAGCGCCACCTCGCGAGCCGGTAATTACCGATGAAGACCGTAAAATGCTGCAACTTCACGCTTTCAAGCGACAAGAAGAGCTGAAGGTAAGTGCGGATCCATTTTAACCCATGCACAATCACAATTGCTTATACCAATAGATATTTATGGTAAATTTCTAACTTACCGACTTCACTGAGAATAATAATTTAACGTACGGGTGAAAAGTTTTATGCTTTTAAAATGAACTGAATATAAAGAAAACATTGATTCTATACCTTTAAATAGCGAGTAAATCCAGGAAAATAATTATCTCTGAGCTAAATAGTTACATCAATCAGTTAATTTTCAATCGCATGTTTCGCTATCTTTGTCGAAATATTTTCCACGTTCAACATATAGTTAAAATATTGGTCCTACCAACGTTTCACATATCATTATTTATTTTTCTATTTTTTTTTCTAGCAAACTTTATGTTTCCTACGTATAAAACCTAACATGTTTCTGGGTATAAAAACGTGGTATAATTTGTTTTTAATCCTAACTCAAGTGAAAACCACAGTCTCACTAAAAATAACAATGAATTTGTATTGATTGAGTAATAGGCAATATAAAAAATATTTCAACGATCATTTTTGAATGAAAGAATGCTTTATTGCTAAGAACATGGAGATTTTTGTCAATTTATCAGTGATCCATTATAGACTAGTTTATAAAAACGTGTACAGGCTGCTGAAACTACAAACAGTAATGCATGATTTTCTGTACTTTATCTCTGCATTCGATAAGAAGACAAAATGTATGTTGTTTACTCAAAAATTTTTATTGAAAAATGTACTCTTTCATGTTAAAAATTCGGGTAGATTTGTACAAGAAGTTTATACGAATTACAAGAGTTATATTAAGTATAATTTTAGAAATGTATTATTAATTCGCAATATGAAAGTACAGCTGCATAGATAGAAAAAGGCATTTCTGAGTAAAAAATCATGTTTAAAATACACTCTCCGAAGGCATGTTCAGTTGTTTTGCAGTAATATACATACAGTCAAGTTATTGTTGTTTTCATGAATGCGTAATTGAAATTATTACACTTGGTGAACTAAAACTTGGCGAATTCTCCATGCAAAACGTTTGCGAGCACAAATGTGGATACATATAAAATCTTCAACTGTGCGAAATGGTATTGGTAACAACGTTGGCCCCATAAGGAATGTATATAATTTAAGTTTACAAGAACACTTATAAGCATAAACACTTGGTATGAAAAGCAGGTCGAAAGCCTTGCACGAGAATAGATCGACTATAGCGTATGTATAATGAGTGTATATCTTTGTATTTTTACACTATCAATTGGTCAATTCGTTTAAAAATTTTATTTCTCTAAAAATTTTTTGCCTCGTATTTACACATAGTATTTACGCGATCAAAAAGCTTTTTACGCGTGAATCGTGAAGAAACTCGATTTCAGTATCGATTTGTTACACTTACAGTTTTAAACGCAATACATAGGTATGAATTGCATTTTGTGGCGCGACGATGCGCACACATTCTTAAGAAAAGCCAACTTTGCAAACAACTATAGAGAACTAACACGAGTCCTCGTCGTCGGAATCCATGAGCGGTACTTTTTCGTACTCACTGGCGAAATGACTGAAGCTGTATCGAAACTGCTAGAGAGACATGCTCATGGTCTCTTGCTTGCTCGAGGAACCTCCGGCTGCAGCCGAGAGCGCCTGGCGCGGTGGCGTCGACGATGACGTTGCGTTTTCCACGAGTCCCTCGCCCTCGTCCTGCGACTGCTTGTCGACGCAGTAGCGGCATCGCATTTTCGCGTCGTCGCCGACTTGCACCGAGCGCTGTATTATCACGAGGGTCGTCAAAGACACGACGAACAGACAAGATGGCACTATGACGGCTATCAGCAGTTCGGTGCGGGTCTTGTTGAGATCGAAGCGAGCCACCACGAAGAACGAGTCGTTCTGTCCGGATCATACCAATAAAATGAAATCAGCTTTGTTTTTACTGCCCTTCAACTGTATAGAACATGTATTATATTCGCGCGACAGCAAAGTTTTATCTTTTTCAAAGATTTTCAACCACACAATGCTCGTCTTTTTTGCGTTGCACATTTTCCCAGAGTCGTATAACGGGGCTTTGGTGCGCCAACTACCCCCTTTGCACATCGATCGATTTATTTTTCTTGCGTTAAATTACACGTTTGAAATCTCGCGATCTCGTTGCTGTATGCGTGCTTGCGCTATCATTGCGATGAATTATAGAGAGAAAATCGATCTTCTTGCCCGAATATTTTACAGCGCAGTTACTTTTAATAACTCCCTCATAACTGTTGCCATACACAAAGCCGCCAAAATGCGCTAAAATTCTTTGTTTTTTTTTGTCGCGTTTCAATTTTATTCCCATTTCAAGTCGGCCAGTATTACGATGGGCAAGGCTAGTCAGACAGGCGCCAGGACGCTCATAAATTGGAAATAGTGACGTCATCCTCAACAGTTATGCGCGGTTTTCTCGTTTAGCTGTCGTTGCGAGAGATCAACGAAGGTTTGATGATACTCGCATAAAATGTATTTTGAAATTTCTCGCACTTAAATCGAAAAGGAATTATCAATCGATCGACGTTAAATTTAAAAGCGAGCCTCGCTCATGGCGAGAAAAAAAATTATCACGGTCATGTGTTCTAGTTTTAGAACGCGCGGGGTGTTGGTGAGTGATCGTTAAACGCGTGCCGCGAGTTAAGGTATGCGTGCAGCCTCTATGTGTCTGTGTCAATACCTATAAGAGACTCTATTCTAATAGTAGATCGATAAAAGGGCAAGTTCATAAAAGATATCATTATCGCAATGGTAGCTTTTATCATAAAAAAGAGCTCATTAATTTCTTTTAATGTTTTTTCGCTAATTCTATTTAAGCTCAGAAAAAAGGCATAAATTCAAAAATCACCTTTTTGTAATAACAGGGGTATCGGCTCTGGGCAGTTTGATTGTCCCCGTCGGCTCCGTGACTGTTGAGAAAATCGCGGCATTCGCCTCGCAGCGTATTGACGCATCCCTCGAGGTTTATGTACAGCCTCGAGGAATTATAAATGGTGAGCGAGCGCTGAGATGGCACGTAAACGTCCGCCGGGTCGACTTTTCGCGGCAGACTCCTCTCGTAAAGTTTTAAAAAAGTCGTGAAGTTTATGAAGGGCTTAGGTATCAGATTCTCCGACAGTAGAGTTCCATTAACGCAGTCTTCCGTCCTGCATTGAATTGAAGCAACTTTGAAATTCATACGCGACATAGTGAACAATGTCTTTGGCTTTGGCTCACCTGACTTGATCCCCGAGTCTTTGAACAGCAAAACAACTGGCAACAAGAGCATCACCGGAAGCCCGCCAAACCTGCTTCGGCTCCAAGAGTCTTTCTCCGGACATATTTCCGTTGGCTTTGTTGAGCGCGGAGGCCCTCGTACACGAGGCAGTTATGATATTATCGCCCTGCATGAGAAAGACGTTGACGTTGGATGTGCTGATTTTCGGGCAGTAACGATCGCAAGTGAAGTGCTGCTTGATGCGAGTACAACGCGAGTTATTGCAGCGAAAATTGCCGTTCAGTTTGAGATTCTCCTTGTCGGCGTCGACGATGGCGCCGTCCGGGCGGTCGTGGCAGAGCATCGCCTCGCTCAGATTCGAGCAGTGGCCGAGTTTGCACTCGAAGACGCCGGTGAGGGTGCCGCACTCGCTGCCATTGTTGCAGTTGTAACGTTTCACCGAACCGAGGTTCACCTGCGAAAATCAGACCATTCGATGCGAGTGAAAACGAAAGGAGACAAAAAAAATTGTACCTTACCATTGGACAAGCTACACTGGCGCTTCTCGTGCAATTTTCAAAAATGAGATCGGTGCCGTTGCGCCTCACGGTCGCGTGGATCTGAGGACAGAATCCGGTGGTTTTTGTCAGGCACCACTCGCCGCAGCTCGCCCAAGCGCAGTTGTTTACCATGGTGGTATTGACCGTTTGGCACATCACGGGATCGATTTCGAATCCCGCATGGAAGGCCCTGAGAATACCCGAGGTACGGCGAGCATGAAAATCGGTATTAATTTTGACGCGCAAAAAAGGCAAAGCGTATATATCGAACAATTACCCGAGGCACGACGCTCGACACGCATGTGCGCGCATACACACGTACAGGTATAGCAGCGGTATAACAACACGTGTAGCCAGTCAATTTTCTTTTTATGGCTTCGTAAACACGTAATGAGATAGCTTAGCTCTCGCAACAAGAGGAAATTGAAATCAGCTCCAGTGCAGCGGGGTATACGAGTGTATAGGTACGCGATATACACACGCGCTCGCGAAGATTAAGCTGTAAGTACGAAACGAATCGAGACAAGGGAGGAAAGATTACTCAAATGAGATATTGCACGAACTGGGTCAATCGCGCGTCGAATGTATACAATTTGCCTTTTTTTTTGCGCCCGTCGGCGAAGTTTCGAGTTTATTCTCGCGTGTGCATAACATTACCTGTGCGACGGCACGTAAATGGCCACGCTGAGATATACGAGCGCGACGCAGCTAATCACTATAGTAAATTGGCAGATGCATATACTGCCGCAGAGCTTACGATCCTGTTCGGGTATCGAGCGGGGCTTGTATTTTCGACCCATGGTAGCGGTAGACGAGCGACGCGCTGCTTTTCTTTTTCCTTGCCGTGCGCTCGCGGCGTTCTATACTCGCGTTGCTGCTGCTACCACTACTACTACCTACTACCACTGCTACGTGCACGTGAATATATCCTGCGCGCGACCTCCTTCTTTCCTTCTTTTCCTGCTACGTGTATGCTTTTGTATTCGTTTTCGTGCGTGTCTTGCGTAAGGGGTTCGTTCGTTTATCCATACATCTTTTACTTCGGGAATGTATACTTTTTTCTGCCGCTGATGCTGCTACCGATGCTTTGCTTTATACCTCAGGGGTAAAAGAAACACGTTCAGTTTTTCTTGAATAAAAGCTTTGAAAATTTTCTCGTAAAATTTCTGCTAGAAAAGACATCGAGGCTACGTTAACTTTTGTGCTTTTTATTGTTCTGGCATAAATTACGAGGTGAAAACAAACTGAAATAAAAGAAATAATCATAATATTACAATGCGTGTCGTTATATTAGTGGAAACATGTACATCAAGTTATTCAAATGTTATTTGTATAAAGCTCAATCACTTCAATCTTTAATATTTTCTAAAATATGTGCGTCTCGAACGTATTTCGCATCGTCATCATTTTTTGCAAATAATTCTTATAAAAGATTTGAATTTATTCATAAAAGTAACAAAAATTAATTATTTACTTTCACTGAATTTTCTCGACATACTTTTCTTGTGTAATTACATTCGCTTGCTTTTATAATTTCTGTTCGTGAAAAAGTAACACGTGTGTAAAGCCGCTGCATCCGTGTCACAGCTACGTTCTATAGACATTATCAACGAATAATCAATTACTGATACATCACCCTCATACACGAGAAATTTTGATCTTGTACTTAACTTTGCTCAAACGTTAATTAAATTTAGGGGGTTGTTAGTCACTGATTTTTTTATTCATTGCTAACTTCAATTAGAAGTAAAGGTTCGAATAAAAAAGAAACAATAGTGAAACTTTTTTTCTACTATTTCTTGGTGTATCGGTTATCTGTTATAATAAATCGACGACTTAATTCGATTACGTTTCAAACGAGATGTAGCTTCGAAAAAACTATGCACTTATAGACTTTGAACCGAGTAACTTCAGCGATACAAGCCGTAGATATTGCAACAATTTTTGTAGTTAATCGTGAAAGCTTGCAACATCAAAGTTAATTAGAAATGTTTATAATGTTAAAAATATCGATTGCTGCATCAAAATTCGATTTGAAGTAAAAATGAGTTTTCTCCGTGGAGTGCCTGTATTTTTATCAAGTTTTAACTTTAACGAGCGAGCATTTTAAGGCATTGACAAGCTTTTAGCGTTCGATAAAACTTTCATGTTATGACATATCAACGTGTGACTTGGCTGCTTTTCGCTTTACGTAAAAAGCTTTGAGTCGTGTTTAACGTCATTAAACGAAAGCTCTAAAGATGCTGTCGGACGTGATAAATAAAGATAATATGAATTATACTTTTAACTTACCAAATTGTATATAACAACGATTATTATTTCACAGTATCATCAATAAATTTTAAATCTCTCTGATATAATGCGACAATTTTTTTCTGATCCATTTGTAAAATCAAACAAGCCGCAATTAATACTTGTCATCTGCGGTAAACGTTCTCCATTCTGCATTATTCTTTCACTCTCGGAAATGACATTGGTAATTAGCGTTGATTCATCAAGAACGCGCGAACGCGTGCTCAGCTTCGTTTCACAGGTCAAACCACTGGATCTCGTTATTATTTTTGCTCCTCGCACTCGCGGTCACAGTTGGTAAACCGTAAAGCTAGTTTAATCGTTTTAACGAATTTTCATTGCCATCCATGATGCAAAGAGGGAAGGCATCTGTTGCTGTGCTGCTGCTGCTGCTGCTCCGCGTCGAGCCTCCTGTTGCACACTGCACAGCTGGTCGCTGCTCCACATCGGCGCGCACTGTCTACGTACCAAGGTATAGGTATATATCGCCCGCTCCGAGAGCCCGTACGTTGCGATACGCTACGTTTGAAAACACGCGAGATAGTCGAATGAGCGAAGAGGCGAGAGAGAGAGAAGTGCGTGACCCCTTGCGATCCGACAGCCTTTAATGCAGTGCGCGCGGCCTGGGCTTCCTCGTCGCGACCAAGCACCGCCAAGAGCGCAGGCGTCGGCGGCTAGCCTTTGGACTTAACGTAGTCACGCCGCGGCCGGTGGCACACTGACGGACAAAGCGTCTATAAGGCACGGACGGACTCGTCGTCGTCTATGTGCTCAAGACCAAGCTTTGATGCTAGATAAAAATTCGCGTTGAATAATCAGTTCAACTTGCCAACGATTCAGGTCATTGTTTTCGATTCATCAAGTATTTCAACGATTTCCCCTCTATTATTTACATTTTTGGAATTAGACTTAGGGTATGAATGAATCAATAGGCACCACCATTCTTAGAATCAGGATTCGCAACGTTTCGAATCGTTAAATAGCATTGTGTAATATTTCCGAGCATGCCGTACTTTTGCGCGCTGTTTCGAACAACGTCGCAAGCTCTGCTTCTTTGGCATTCTTATACAGTTTAGCAGTCCGACTTTTCCACATTTACAGGATGTTAACCCGTGGAAATAACTCGCAAAAATAAAAGTTGAGCCATAAAAGACGTTTCTCTTTTCGCAGGAGCTGAACTTATATTGTGTGCGCCAGCAGCGGCAGTAACTGTAGGCGACTGGCGCGAGGTGGTATTGTATGGTGGCGCCAACTAGCCTTACTGCCACAACCTATAGATAGGGAATTGATACGGCATCGCGTAGACGCGGCCAGCGGGTCGAGTTCTACTTACTCGATGTCATATTGCATTCGGAATTATGCATAATAGGCGGGTGTGTTCTTGCATCATACGACATAGCCACCCAGAAAATTTACACGAGTTCACTTTTCCATCACAAATAATAAACAAATTTTTTGGCGCTTTCTTGTTAATTCAAATTTTCTCTTATTACAATGACACAAATTTCATCTACAGATGAAGTTGTCGAATTAACTTATAACTTTACCCATTTTTCAAAAGTTTTAGAATTTAACAGCGCTAAGAAAAAAAAACGGATTGACTTAACTGTACTTAGACTTTACTGCACTTAATGAATTAAAAAAAGTATTTCGATTCAACTTGAATTACAAATTCACACAAATTCAAAACATCGTAAATTTCAATCATTTTTTTCAAATCTCTTATTTGTATAACAATGAAAGAATATTATTGCGGCGCGACTTACTTCAATTTACGAAGTTTTAAAATGTTAGCAATGCTCGGTAGCACATTAGGGGTTAATCTTATTCAGGCCAAACATTAATAGCTTGTATGTATTTTTCACTTAATTTTAAGAGTCTTTTATTTCATAATTTTTTTCAATCAAAGAAAATACCATCGAGGATAAAGTAGTAGTTTCTAGCATAAATCAGTATGTGAATCTACTGTCATCAATTGAACTCATTTTTTCGCAGTTTTTGATGGTCCCAGTTTAGGCGTTGTTTCCACATTTTTCTTTAATTCTTATGAATGCGTAAACATGTATTTCTTGAACTGTATTTCTTAAGATAAATTAAAATTAGTTTAACTTTTTATTAGTTTAACACAACTAAAGGAATAGGTAAGAATCGTTTTTGCAGTAATCAGAATAAAAAGTTAAAACAAATTTTTCTTAACCAATAAAATAAAATAAATTATTGACAAGTGAAAAAATTAAAATTATAAGTAGGGCAGGGGATTTTCTTTATATTTAAGGGCGTCTTTGCAATTCAATTTTATTAAACGTCTGAAAGGAGGTTACTTGCAGAGGGAGTGCTTGTTCATTGACTTACTTTGTTATGACGATCAGGCACGTTTTGCTGCTTAGATCATAGATAAATGTCCGTTAATATTAATTCACCACATGAGTTGGATAATTTTTTCGATTGTAATTAGTTTTCATAGTAATGACGATGAAGCTCCAAATTGTTTGTATTTTTTCATTAATATCAAAAAAATATATAAGTGAAAGTTATAACATTTTAAATAAATATTACAATTGTTTCAAAGATAAATTATTTAATGTATTCAAATCAAAATATACAATATGGTATTTTACAAAATTTCTTTTGGAAAAAGGCAAGAGCGTACCATTATATATTTTATGCATTTTTAAATAAATTACTGTCTATTAAAACTATTCAACCTCATTCAATACCACTTGAGTAATTTTTTAACAATTTCAGTTGATTGATATTTCAAATTCCAAGAAATATTAATCTCAGATCATTTTGCATTGATCTCGAAAAACCAACTAATTTTAAAAAAACTTTACAAATCATAATAAAAGTGATTTGCAATAATGATATTATTAATTGGCACTAAACATTAAACTATTTTCGGCGATTATTCAGTTTTTAATCTCTGTAACGAATTGAAAAAGCTTTTTGAAAAGTAGAATACAGAGATAATAACAAGTAATTTTTAAACGATATGCGTTATGAAAGTCAGTTTACCAAAGATGACATTATTATAATAGATTGTCTGTAAGACGAGTCGAAAGTCTTATGTAGTGAATGGAAACAATTGATTTTAAATATTAGCCAATCAATTTTAGATGACGAATAAATTATATATTTCAAGATTCATACCTTATTATTTCATTGGCGTTAATATATCATTACAATTAGCAGGTACAAAAAGTGTCTATCACATAAGCAAATAAATAATTATTATTTATGTTGCGTTTAAAGCAAATTATTTTCTTTGCTTTATTTTCATTTTTGTTAACTAAAGACTTGTACTCTATTACGTTAGGTGCAAAATGTGCGTAATGAAAATGTTAAAATATTTATTTTACGTGATACAAATAAAAGTGAAGCCTAATCTTAATGCATTACATCACTTTACAATATTTAATTTTAGTTTTGTGCATACCCTGTTGATATAAAAAAATTAACAATCAATATAGTAAAAATGCTAAAACAAAATTCAATCATTTTTTAACTCTCACCTTTGAGCATTTTATTCTTTCTCAATTTCAATGCTAATTGCATAATTTCGAAACCTAAATGAACGTCGTGATTATTCATTTTTTTGTTCATCTCATAACATGTGCTCTCAATGCAATCGTACAATAAAATCTTTGATATTTGTGCATCAGAGACGACGAAAAAAATACTGTTGAATTTCTGCCTGTGCGCACACATGCTGATGAATCGAAATTTTCAACTAGTTTGATCACAAATTCGTCAATAACATTGTTAATTTATATAACCACGGCGCCCGCGCGGCGGCCTTATACAAAATTTACAATTAACAACTTCATATATACTCTAACCATAATATAATATCGATAATGTTCTCAGGCAAACTTATGAACTATATATATCATAATATTCTTTTTCATACATTTTAATAATTCATATAATATATATTAATATATAAATGTTAATCTTTTTTTACATGTATCAAATCGCGCATTGTTATTATTTTTCAATATTATTAGTGACAAATGGACGTAATAGGAAAGAATGAAAATGAAAAATTATTCGAATACTTAAGTAGAGTTCTTAACCATCGTATTGTTACATTGTATATAATGTTCTTTTTATATAATCAATGAAAATTCTTGCACCATTGTAAAAGTCTTCACTCGGTAATTATATAGTAAATACCGTAGTTTATATTATTTTATGTTTCATTATATTGATTATAAAATGCATTATTATATAGAGTTTGGATTTATATCAGTAATGCATTTTTGTAACAAAGCATTATGAAATTGTCGATGATATTGTTCAATCGGCCACATTAAGCCTAGTTATTAACTTATTGTATATTTTTCATATTTTATGTGAATTGATATTTCACGTTGTCAAAATCTTAAAATTATTCAATTTTATATTATGTATAACAATTTGCGACTAAAAGCATTTTTATTTAAACTTTTTTATCAATTTTTAGATAAGACAAATATTTTTCATCGTGTAATTTTCAGAAGGTATTCCCTGATTTAATGGGTAGATAATTAAGTCGTACGAAGACTAAGCATTGATCGTAGTAGACAAGTGGACAGAGTTAGATAATACTTTCGATAAACATACCTTAGGTATTATTCGGTAAGATAGTGTTTTGGAAATAATATCTATTCAACTGTTTTTAATGCAGTTCACTTATTTAACAAAAAATTGATGACTATCTCAATTTATCAAAAATTAAATAAATAGATGACTTACTATAAATTCGGAAGTAAAAAAATAAGTTGTTCAACAATTTATGTATAATTATTCGATTTTTACTATACTCAAAATTCTTTTCGAGTAAAACTATTTTGTTATTATGAAGATAATGATGTTGCAATGATATTCAAAAAAATGTTAGTCAAATCGATATTTCTATCTTCTATTTTTGAAGCATGTACGTATTTAACGACAATAATTGAGGTATAAAAATTATTGCTACCAAACGCAAATTGGTATTCGTTGTTGTAAAAAGAAATTTTTTCAATGTTTTTCTTACTGGTGTAACGAGACAAATTAGCAGTAAGTATCCGACTGGCGTCACTCCCGTCCATTGGGGTGAGCCCGAGGCAACAGTCAGTATTCCTCTTCGTCCTCTTCATAATCCTCTTCTCCCAGAATGCTAGAAAAAGTCAAGCAGGTTACTGTGAAACTTTGACAAAATATTAACTCTTCTTGCTAGTTGATTTACATCCGTTATTTAATATAAAAAGCCACTATAATTTATTGTGTAATGTTACTTTTGAATTAATTATATACAACCTATGAGTACAGAAGATAAATAAAAAATGCCAACTTACATGACTCAAATCTACCTTAAGTAAAGTAAATATATTTACAAAATAATGATTACTCATGCTCATGCTCACTTTTATCTCGTTGTATTATAATATTTACTATTTTATGTTACAGTGTGCATTTTTCGATAAATCAATTATTAGTAGAGGCATTTTATAATAAAAGACTACTCTTATTTCACATTTGAATTTTCACACTATAAAATCAAATAAAAGACAAATACATCGTAACTCAATCGAAACTTATAATGAAAAGTAATTTCACGCATAGTAAATTGTGATTTTCCATCAATGTTATTTTCAAATCGTCGAATAGTAATAAATCATAAGTATAATCTGTGATTGGTTTGAATTTTTAATGGTTCGTAATAATTAAAAACCCATAAATTTTGTTAGAAAACTTTTATTCAAAATTCATATATGAAACGAAGCAGTAATGAATACAAAAAATATTACTACCCCTTTTTACAATTGGACTAAATTGAATCTACCAGGGATCTCGATTGAAAGTTCTCGTTCTTAATGAATATAAGATAATGCTTTTTTTGCTCAAGGAACACATCGTTGGTACGAAAAATATATTAAAAATCAAAAAACAAAGCTCACAAATATTGTACAATCGAGATGAAAAATCGCGTTTTTATATATAATTAGTGTCGTCATATAGGAACATTCATTCGTATTTCCTACTCATAACAGTGCTCGCGAAATCAAATATTTAACGTAAATTAAGTCTTATCTATAGCCGATCAAGGCACTGCGTATTTTTTTTCTTTCGTTACACGTTACTTACTCTTCCTTCCTCTCGAATTTATCGATAAGACTTCGATTGGAACCGCATGATTTTCTCACCGGAGGACAGTACCAGTAGCACAGTACCACCAGGGGTAGGATAAATAGTAACACTGGAATGGTCAAGGCCAGAATTAAGTTGCGGAGGTTGTCATCCCACGAGTATCTGTGGAGGATCGTTACATAAGTTACAGTTTAATTTGAAAATAAATTAGATGACTCACTTGGCTATGACAGTTTCCGGGTAGGTTCGGCTGTAGTAGCAAGGAAAGACATTGCCGCGGCTGGTGTTTCCGTACTTCTTGGCGAATTCGGCGCAGATCACTCCGGTGTCCGGGTAACCACAACCTTCTGCGTTTACGAAAAATTTCGTGTCGATCATGTCCCAGTTGACGCTGCCCGTAGGCGAGGCCGTGAACTCGTCGTAAGACAATTTTGTGTAGTTTACCCGTATCTGATGGCAGCTCGTCACGGCGGCTGTGCAGCCTGAAAATGATTGCAAATTATGCATGAGGCGTCTGGATTCGGCATCGGTTTATAATCAATCTTTACCCCACCTTCTCTGCAACTGGCCCATGAACAGTTTTTCAAGCCCTCGGCGAGAACGTGACTGGTCGTTGCGCAGGCAACGGGTCGAGACGAAAAATCGGCCAGAATCGTCGATATCGCCGGTTCAACGACAAACGGAATGGCAAAGAGGAAGGCAAAAACCGCCAGTATGGACGTCGATCCAAGACACAAGGACGTGTAGAATTTGGCTTTTTCCATGAACGAGACCACCTCCTCGGCCGGTAGAATACCGCCGATCTTTTCCTCGCCGTCGGCCAGCGTGGTGTCGGCCTCGCTGAGGGCCGCCATGCTCGACTTTCTCTGGCTGCCATCGTAGATGCTGATGGACTTTCTCGGATTGCTGTCGTAGCTGTACTTCCTCTGAGCGTAGCTGGGATCGACTCGCAGCTGGCTCGAGCGTCGCTCTTCCTCGTCCTCGTCGGCCGCGCCCATAACGACGGTGGAATCGTCCGAGTCGACCGAGGCACCGGCGCGCAAGGCCTGATAGAAGCGCCTCTTAGCCGAGGACACCGGCCTGCCTCGTATAGAGCCCCCTATGGTTCCGGTTTAAGAGATTCGCTCTTTGCTTAACCTGGACGCGTTTTTTTTATCTTCGACCTCGAAGTTGTCAGTTTAAGGCGCTACTTGTCCCGGCTCCTTCGTCACGAATTAATCATCTGTCGTTAATTTTTTTTTGTCTTTTATCTCGGCGGAGGTTGGTATTTCGCGTTTTCTGCTTCTTATCTATTATCTTCTTGTGGACTTTCTAAAAGCGCATATATGTGTGTGAGTTAGTGTACATTGTACTTCCAACTTTCGTACGATTCTATTCAGTGACTAATACAGTTCAAATTATGGAAATTTTGTCGGTCAAGCTCGAAAAACATGGAATGTTTATAATGATCAAGCTGGAATGCGATAGTGTCAAAGTGTGAATGCCTTGCCGATAAATATACGTATATGTTTATGCATTGAACACGCGATGCAAATACGAAATTGTGCTGAGGCAGTGAAACAACACGAAATATTATTTGATTCGCAATTGATTCCTCGTAGCTGCCAAAGCGGCAATCCTTGCGTAGATAGTTATATAATAATACATTCTAACCGTGTGTATGTATATTAAAGTAAATATTAAAGTAAATTGTCGATGCGCTTAGCCTTGCCTTGCCGTTTACTTAATTGCATCTTTTGTATAGCTCAAAGCAGTAGGGCCTCGTGTGACTGATTTGGCTTGATTATTTCTTTTTGCTTCTCGCTCTAGTATACGATAATAATTCGTTCGATGTGCTCATTGAGATAAGAAGAACAAGAACCACGCGTTCCCCCCCACCCCCCAACTTTTCCAACACTTCCTCAGTAGTGCCCGCGCAGAGAGAATATCGACTGTCGAGCCGGGCTCTCTTCCAGGAGGGGAATGCCTGCGAAATTAAATAGAACAATTGCAATATATAAACATGTTAGGAATTCACATTTAATTGCTTTTGGATAATTATACGATTCACTGTTTTGAATGTTATAGAGCAATTTACAAATCAAGTCACGTGTTTCGAGCGAGATCGATCTGGTTGTTTGTAATTTTTTTGCCACAATCTATTATCATGCGCTCGTAGAACTTATTATAACTGGATTACATTTCGAAAGAAAGCGAGTCTCGCTCTGAAACGCGATACCTTAATAAACAGGCGATAATATATTGCTCTCGATATTATGTTGCCAAACCCATGCACTTGTATGTTTTTTAAAAAATCATCGTTTAGCAAAATAATTCATCATTTCAATGTGCAAGCGACTGCGAGTTTTAGTTCGATCGATTCGGTTCTGCATGTAATCTGTGCCACAAAATTTTATTATTATTATTATAATTCTTTAATATTCAACAAGGCACTACATGTTAGTTATTTAAGCACGATCGGTCGCAGACTTTTTTTGTAAATCAAAAATAACATGATAGTGAAGTGGAAAGATCATCTACTATAAGAGAATGGAAAATAAAGTGAAACTACAATTTGCGTAAAAAATCATTTATTTGACATTACATTACTTGCGTTCTTTTAAAATCTGACTGGAACGAGTTGCCAAATCTGTCTCTATAGGCTAGCTTAATATTGTTATAGAAATGTCGATGATCATTTTCGTAAAGACAAATAATTGCAAATTTTATAAGTATAATATGCCTCAACGCTTTGGCGTATAATCCGCTTATGGCATATAGAAACCCTAGAATAGTTGAAATTTTGAACTGTGTGCGTTAGCGCCTCTACATTATTAGGGTGTTAAGGCATGTGATGGGCTTATTTTAATCTGACATTATTGATACATTCTGTCTTGTTATGTATAATCTACTTTATACCATCTTATCAGAGTGAACGTGAGTGTTTGTCTGTGTGCTTGTGTGCTGTCGTTCTGCACTGGAAACCCTCTTGATGAACAGCAGCTCAACCAAATTTAGCTAATTGTATTGAGCTGTATGAGCCCAAAAATACAGTCCTCACAACTAAATGTTATATCGTTGCTGATCGTTGAACTGTCAGATGTTGCTATGTTCATTTTAATGAACATTCTGGTTATGTTCACTTACAAACGCGTGATATTGACGTGACGTGGCTCAGTTCACGTTTGTTGACATTGAAAAATATGAATTGAGCTGTATCAACTCAAAAAATTGCGTTGGCAGAGCTACACATCGAATCGAGCTCGTATAACCCGAGATTGAGCTCTGCCAACTCAACATGGTTTCCAGTGTGAGTTTTCGTATTATGTTATTTTGTATAATATGCACCACGAGCATCGACTAATTCGTTCGGACTAGAGTTATGAAAATATCGTATGAGAATTATCAAGATGGACTTTTTCATGCGTTCCATTTTCAAGTTTAACGAAAAAATCGAGGGCAGTGCACTTTTGTGTGTATTATTATAAATATCACATTTTATCAATTTGGGCCCTAGATCGTTTCAACTCTTGAATTGCTCGATCCGATGAAACATTTCGATCGCTTCTACTTTTGATGTCTCTACTCATAAAATTTTTCTGTGTTAATTTTAAGTAACATACTAAATGTCTACAATAGAATACTGGCTATCAGTACAAAAAGAAAAGAACGTCCATAGTAACAAGCGAACATTTTCATGCCTATTTACAATATTAATGAGAACTATATACAGTATTAAATAGGACGTACGTATGATAGTAATAATATAATAGACGATCAAAAGTAAAACAAACACACATACACATGTAACACACTCACGCGCTCTAAAAACACGATTTTTGTTCGCACTTTTGGTCTCTAACTCTGCAGTAGCAGTAGCAACTCGATTTGTAAAATTTCATTATATTTGGTAAATAAGAAAGATCGATGGCTAATGGAATCATTTGATAGTTTCTCATGTGCGTATTAATAGTCAAGGGTGGATCTTCCGTTACATATAAGTATGAAGTTTTACCGTACGAATTACGTTACCATTACGTTAAGTTACGTCAAGTTGGAGGAAAAGAGAAGTGTATAATATACGGCGAGATCGGGATACAAAGAGAGATAAAGTTTCGAGCGAGCGAGCGAACGAAGCGCGGGGAAATTGGTTGATCGTTTGTTTTTTGTATAGATGGGGAGGGGTCCTTACGTGACGGATCTCAGAGAGCCATGACGGAGTCGGAGGCGGCCCCGCCTCCGGCGTCGACGAGATTGCCCGAGGCGCTCTTCTCGAGGGCCAACTGGGTCAGGGCGGCGCCGGGGGTGCCCTTGAAGCGCATCTTGGCGTCGTCGCCCACCACGACGGTGCGCTGGCACAGTATGAGCGTGAGACAGCTGACGACGAACAGCACGCTCGGCATGATGAACGCGACGAGGAACTCCTTGTAGGTGGACTCGAGGTCGAAGCGCGACACGACGATGCTCGTCTTGCCGTCGGCGTAGTAGCAGGGAAAACGGGCCCGCGCGTTGTGATCCGAGCCGTCCTTGCCGTACTCCTGCAGGAAGAACTTGCACTCGTCGCGCAGGGTGTTGACGCAGCCCTCGAGATTGATCAGCAGTCGGCTCTCGTTGGCGATGATCAGGTCCATCTCGGGCGGTATGAACTTGCGCGTGTCGTCGAGCGGCTTGGTCGCGTACAGGTTCAGGTAGGACAGATACGTGAAGTTGGTCAAGTCCGTGAGCATGTCCTTCTCGAGGACCGAGCCGTTGATGCAGTCGACCGCCTCGACGCCGAGACTCGTGTTGTAGATGCCGTAGCAGGAGGCCATCATGACGTCGCCCCGCTTCTCGTTCCAGATCTCCTTCTCGCTCTCCATGTCGAGGGCCTTCTCGCACGAGGACAAGTACACTTTGTCGCCGCTCAGCAGTATGACGTTCTTGTTGCGAGTGGGTATGTCGACGCAGCGCCGGTCGCAGTTGTAGGGCGGCCTGATCTTCTCGCAGGTGCCCCGATTACAATTGAACAAGCCGTCGATCTCGATGCAGGTTATCTTGCCGCGACGGCCCGAGCACTTGAGGGGCGGATCGGTGTCGTGGAACGCGCACTCGAACGCGTCCGTTATGTTGATGCAGGTGCCCATGGTGCAGTTGAACGTGCCCGTCAGATTGCGACACTCGTCCGCGATGCACTTGGACTTCTTGGCGTTCTCCTGGTCGATGCCGTAGCACGTCTTGTTGGTCGTGTTGGTGCAGTTGGCCAGCAGAATGGACGAGCCGTTGTGGCGCAGATTCACGTGTATCTGCACGCAGGGCCCCGAAGTCTTGGACAGGCACCACTCGCCGCAGCTGCCCCAGTCGCAGTTGTCGGCGTTGGTCGCCCGGATGGTCGTGCACATGGCCGGCACCTCGCTTATGCCCGACTGGAAGGCCCGCGTGCTCGGCATGTAGACCGCCACCGTGAGATAGACCAGGGCGACCGAGGACAGCACCGCCGTCATCTGGCACAGGCAGATGGTGCCGCAGATGCGGCCGTCCTGCGGCGGTATCACCAGGTCCTCCACCGGCACTGGTTTGCCCATCTTGTCGCTTTCGCGTCACTCGCGCGGCGCGGAGCAGCAGCCAACTCTACCCAAGTAGACTAGAGGCTCTTCGGACTGCTACACATGATCCTTGTCGTGTGTGTGTGTTGAATCGACGCGCACGTTTTGTCGGTGGCGGCGGCGGCTACGTCTTTGGCCGTCAACGAGGTCGGACTGCGCGCGGGGGCCTCGTCCGGGAAGCAGGGCTACACTGCGGGCCGACCAAACTCTCGGGGCGCGCGCAATCCGCGTTCGAGGGACGACGACGACGATGGAAGCAGCCCACGCGAGGGAGAGAGAGAGAAAGAGAGTCAGAGTGCGCGCAAGCCCCCCATCGATTTTGCAAGTACGAGCAGCAGTGGTAGCAGCGGAGCTTTCTACGCGCCTGCGCTTCGGATTATACCGCAGTGACGTAAGAGTCGTACGAATGAGGAGCAGCGCCTCTCTCTTTCCCTCTCTTGCTGCTGCTGCTTCTGGTGTACATGCACTGCTGCACTCGCGCCAACGCCGAGCGCGTGGAAATAGAGCCAGTGCTGCCTCTACCCTATATGTGTATGTATATAGTGCGAGGCAATTTAGCGTTCGCCTGTTCGCGTATCGGGTCAAATGAAACTGGGTGAAAGAGCTGCCGCCGCCGCCGCTGTTGCCGCTGCTACTACTGCCCCACCCCTCGATCTCCCGTTCCAACGTTTGTATATAGGAAATTCGCATATTTTTTTGCACCCGAAAGCGTGTACGCGACCTCCTCGTTCTACAGCGGATTCTAATACTTCCGGGCTTGCCGCGTATACACGTAGTCAATGCTTTGTCAAATACGAATATTCCCTGTACATAAGCAAATTAATCGTGGTAAATTCACCGAGATTATCCCGTGAGCGATCGCGGCAAGCCTAAATCGCGAGCAAATTTGAATATCAAGCTACGCTGAGGTCGCAAAAAGGTTTACTGAAAATACACCCCCGCAATAATTATGTGGCACGTTATCGCTTCGTATAATTACACTAGGCTAGCGGATAAACAAGGTCTTTAAAGGCCAAAACCATTAAATCAGCACCTCGACACAGGACCAGTAGTCGCAGTTTTGCTCTGCAGTTCGAATGACTAACAATTGCATGCTTACAATCGACCTGAACGAAGCGTATCGATAATCATTTATTATGTAAAAGTTACTCGCTTGCAGCTAAAGATGATTATAAAGTTGCGAGGGAAGAGTCGGATGTATACATCGAGTGAAATTCAATAAATCGCTGCAACGCTTAATACATGTTAAAAGGGGGAAAGACATAAAAATACACGTAGCGAACGAAAAAAAGCACATACGAAAAGGGTATCGACCCACTAAGTTGGAGCATCAACATATATAATATTGGATTTTCGACCCTGTTAGAGAGTTCAATCGAATGCCAATAACTATTTATGTTCGAGAGAAATCTTCAAGACCCGTTATATGTCCAACATTTTATATCGCATCATCTGATTGTCCATTTGATCAAAATTCAACGAGAAACTCATATCATGGTTATAGATAGATTTAGTTTTTAATAATAATGTACTCGACATTGTTAAACAGCTTTACTTATAATATCTAAACAGCTTTACGTCTGACTAATGGCGATCATAACTACTTATAATTTTTCAATGCGATTCTTTTTCAGCTTGATAATTACAACGAATTGAAAAAAATTATCAACAATTGTCATTAAATAGATTAAATAAAATACCCTTAATAAAATTCAAGGGGTGGATAATATTTCTTCGTCGAAATTTCGAATTAGTTTTATATTCATACAATGAGAATTTAATATGAATCATTTGAAATTTCATTTCATCGATTGGACGATTCTAATGCAAATTTTTTCCGATAAGTTACGATATCATGGTTATTATTTATTTTATAAAAAAAAGGCGAACACTGCATGAATACCATTATGTCGTAAACTTAAAATACAACTTTTTTACGATAACTCATCAAAGTTACGCGAAACAAGATGTTAAAATTTATAGCATTACCGCTGTAAATTTTAGGAACAGCTGTCTTGTATCATACATATCTTGATAAATAAAATCACAAAAACATATATCGTAAGGGTTTATTTAACTTTAAATTTATTTAAAACACTTCCGCAAAATGTCAACGATTGTAGTTTAGAATGTAAATTCGATTTTCATTTAGATTTGAATCAATATCAATTGTGAAAATCAATTTAAACTTTGCATACTGTGTATTCATTCAATGTAAATAAAACAATTCCATTCACTGTTGTATGTCATGATGTAATGAACTTTTCAATGCAATTTTATCAAAAAAAATCGAAGCTGAACGTATTCGTTTTTCCAACCGGCCGGATGCATTATTGAGAGTAACGATCTCACTTTTTTCCCCAACATTATCGTTTCGTGCGTCAGTCTATATTCCAAGGTGACTTTCAGTCGCGTTTTACTTTGCATCCGACTGCAAAATCGGTCCAAAGTTTTATCCTCTCTCGTCCTGAATAGCAAATGCTCTTTCGACTTAATTTTGGAACACGTTCAACTAGTCCACCTATGTAAATCACTGTTTACATCGATGTTCTCTCGATAAGAGCCATCGCGAAAATAATCCCTTATCGTCTCATCGAGGCATTCAAGAAAATGTCTAAATAGTATCGATGCACGACATACAATAGCTATCTAACAAAGCTAGTAAACATACTTTGCGCTAGTGTGTGCAAAGCTACTGCATTTATATACCTGACCTTTTAGTGCGATGACATTTTCGATCCAAATCCATTAATCGTCTTACAGACGGTAATGTGAGCACGAATCGCGCGCGAAAACTGACGACCGGCTGGAGGCTTACGATTCTGCATTTTTTTAAGTATTTAGAAAAAAAGCAATACTGCGCATGAACGTGTAAAATTTTTACTCAATCAACTTTTTCCTCGATTTATAGTCACAAATTACGCTATGAGTTTCATCTTCGTGACTTCATTTTTAAGTCATTAAACAATCATAACAAGCCACATTGTATTCTCCAGAGTGCCGTTCACAATGTGCCGTTGAAAATCGAAACTCGGAGAGATGCTAAATTAATGACACTGTAAATTTCATGATGTGAGTGTGTATGTGTCTATGTGAGTGTACACAGTTATTAGTAGAAAAAGTGTGCTATTTGTTCGATTGCTGCGCATTGCAGTTTTTTTATTCTGGTCAACGAATAAAAATAGAGTAAAAAGTATTTATAGATTTGTTATTGTAAATTACTCTTTTTCACGGTTTATGATTCGTTTGTAAATAAAGAGTTTAGAATTTGACATTTTTACCTTGGTTGCTTTTTATCACTTTTAAAGGCTTTACGTAGAAATTCCATTAAACTTGAGAAGATGAACGTACATGACAAACAAATGGTATCGTAAAATATGACCGTAGACATAAAGTACGAAGGCTAAGAGCCACGTAGGAAATGATGTAAACAAAACAGTTATTCCAAGCATAAAAGAGAGTGCGATACGTAAATAGTAGCCTAGAGAGAAGTGCAACTGTATTCTCTACGGTTCTGCCTGCGACGGTGTGACATCCAATAACCTCGTGCAATATGTGACGGAATTCGGCGCGCTCGCCAATCACGCGTCGAACTATTTTTTATCGTCGTCGCGAGTACGATATAAACAAACTCACCTGGATCTTTGGATTTCAAAATTCGGCGAGGAAACAGCAGCCGCAGCAATGGCAAAAGTCGCACTTGTACACTTTACGTAGCACAGCACACTCGTAGTGCAAGGGGGGTTAAAAATCGAGGACGGAGATAGATCGAGATAGAGAAAGAGAAAGAGAGAATAGGGTCTTTCTCGCACGTTGTTGCTCTACGTTGCTGCTGCTGCTGCTGCTGCTGCTGCTGCTGCTACAAGCTGCAGCGGAAGCTCGGCACTGCGGCGCGCATGAGTCGTTTCTCCTTTTGGGGCGGCAGCGTGATACTACAGCGTCGAGCCGTAGCAGCAGCAGCAGCAGAGTCGAGACTAGCTCCACCTCGAGACTGCCGCGGTGGGTTAGCTGCTGAATCAATAATAATATATAACTGTATAGAGCCGCGCGTCCCAACGACCGAAACTTTCTGGGTAGTTAGGGATCCGTGTCTACTTCTATACATAGATATATCGCGCGCGCGCCGTGTGTGCAAATATCTATATGCACGCGTTATAGAGCTTGCGAGCTTGCACGATCGTATATACGACGTTACAATGAGTACTATTTGTGGGACACAACGATCGACGGTGTCTCGTTTAAACTTTAATGCTTGGTGGTTTAATACATAATTTTTTATTTTCTAACCGAGTCGATTATCAATTTTGCCTCGATGTTCGTTTATTTTCATGTTCCCAACCGAAAGTACTCCAGGAGTCACATTAGACTGTGAAACTTTAGTTATCTATGGATCTTACGTATGCAACTCGAAGCATTATATATAGAGTATAGAGTAATAGAAAAAAGAAAAGACAGAAACATCATCACAAAGAAACTTTAGATGCTACGAGTATATATACACACACACACGTTCGAATAGAAAAGAAAAATCGGATTTCTCCAAGTGCCACTGGTTCCTGTTTACCACTTGTGCCAAGCTGTACTCAACTCTGCCTCGGCACAGTGCATGTATAGACAAAGAGAGAGCACATCCTTATTTCTTTTTTCCGTACGACTGAATGACGTATTCGGAAAATCAGTAAACTTTCGTCGTATTTATTTTATTCGCGATAGATCGCCTGGCCCTGTCCGCAGCAGTCGCTCGTTTCCTCGCCGATGAAACAGCATTTTTCAGCAAAAATACTCTCGGAAAATTCGATCTCGGACTAATGCGTTACGAGCTTTCCTTTTTCTCCGTCTTCTTCTTTTTGCGCACAAAACTTTTTCAGCGTTGTTATATTGTTTTCCAGCGAAACGATTTACTCTTTTTTGCGCTGCGTTATATACACATTATTCTCGTGCTTTTCATCACTTCGCTTCGGATAAGATCTTTTAATCAACATCCATTTGGGCGAGTAAAAAACGCCTGCGTTATCCTTATTCGAACGTCGGATTATGAAAAGTCGCAATCCAAAAAACGAATCGATATACTGCACGTATATGATAATGGAATCAAGGCGAGTCATTGGCCGCGCATCATGGATATCGATTATCTCCGATGCGCGTTTTAATAGTTCGATTCGCGCAGTCAATAGCTATGATCTTCGAGTTATGCGAGGCATTCGTGTACGCGTCGGCTGGGGAGCATATATTCTTATATGTACGTATCGACACGTAACTTAATATATATCGAATTACATACATGGGAGCAATAGAAAAAACAGCTAGTCGCTTTGAACGAGTTTTGTCCCCGGTTTTTCAAGAGCATTAGATACCCTATATCGACGCTTTCCTTGATGCGATATAATACATCCTTGAAATACTTGATCGAAATTCCTCGATGTGTATAATCGCTCCGATACTGTGAATATACACGTCGAAATGGAGCTCATGGTATAAATAATATTTTACATTTATAATATAGAAAATGAAATTCCCAAGATGAGCTCTTGAAATTCTTAACTAAGCTATATAACAAGTGCAAAAATAATAAAGGGTAACATTTTGGAAAGCCCAAAGAAGCTCGAAAATCGCCGGTGCCTAATAAGCTAGCAATCGTACACACACGGCACATAATAAGAGTCGAAAATCAGCGTGCACACTTGCAAATCGTTCGCCTACATCTACATTGTGTATGCCAATTGAATGGAAGCAGCATAAACACACGGACGAGGCTCATTGGACGCGGCGCCAACAATTAGAGTCTGCACCGAGGCCCTCGGATATCGGCAATCGTTGCGCTCTCTCTCTTTCTCTCTCTCTCTTTCTCTCCACGTTGGCCCACATTTCACGCAGTTTTCGACTGCACCACTGCTGCCGCCGCTGCTGCCACTCGTCTGTTGTGCTGGCCTCGAGCCAATACACGAAACTCCGCTTCCGGAATAAGTCCTTACGCGCATAAAGATATCTCGCAAATAGGCTCGAGAGAGAGAGAGAGAGAGAAAGGGACAAAGTCTTACACTTCGTTTGTAGTGCTCGATCTCGATAATATTGTGTGTTGCTGCTCGTAGTCGTCGTCAACGTCGCGCAGAAGCCGCTTGAAAAGCGACGAGGCGTCCACGAGGAGGATGATAAGTTGGAAACTTTTGCACGTCCGCGTGTGCCTCTCTCGACTGTGTGTGTATTATAGGCCGTGCACATTCGAACTCGACATTATATCGACTCGTTTTTAGCACAATATAACTCGCGTAGTTATAGGCGAGCGCGCGCCAGTCCAGCCGTGAGTTGGAGTTTATTGTGCCCGATTCATAATGCGCAATCGGCTCGTTCCCGTTGTACAGCCCCCGAAGTGAGCCGAGCTGTCTCATTTAACGGCCAGCTCTTTCTCTCTTTCGCGCGTACTCTTCCTCGCATCTATGTGGGTGAAAAACGTATACATCTGCCAAGCAGAGAGAATAGCTCGGCGAGCTTCCGCCTGCATGAACAAGGCAACTTTTGCGTATGAAAACGTTGAGAAATATAGAGAGAGATGGCATAGTAGTTGCGATGAAAATTAACAGCTTTTTATAGGTTCACTTGACTCGTCACGTTTTTTTAACATTATTTTCTCGTTTGGAAAATTGAACAAATTCGCAAAACTATTGTTGCAATAAAGATCGTCTTTTTACCGTACCTTCTTAAAGACTCTCAAAATCTAATTGTGAAATTTCATTTCATTCATTTCTAACTTTGCATATCTATTATATACTCTTCCTAGACGTAAAATTCGAATCAAAAATTAATGCTGCACCCTCCAAAATGAAATTTTCCTAATTCATCCAGATTAATTATTAATTTTTTAGGAATTGTGTTCTTTCTTTTCCGAGAATGATAGCAAAATGAATATTTCACGAGGCAGCAGTACGTGCTGTATCATAAAACCACATGCAGTTCGTGCAGATTTAACCGAGAAAATCGTCTACGATATTCAGAGAGAAAACTTTAACATAAAAAAAATGGTCCCTTTTAACATTAGCAAAGTAAATTGTCAAGAATTTTACGACATTTATAAAGGCGTCGTGCCGTTTTACGAAGTAAGCGAAAAGAAATTATTCAGGAGTAACGCGCTCATGTGGCGATGGTGAATTTTTTCTCCTTTTTTTCTAGGAGATGGTGGGGGAATTGAATTCGGGAACATGCGTAGGTCTTGAAATAACGCACAACGACCCAAAAGTAGATGTCGTAAGTGAATTCAGAAAACTCTGCGGTCCAATGGATTCGGTAAATTGCTATTTTTTATCGTGATCAATTGCTATTCTGTAAAGTCTCAATCAATTCGTTTTGTGATTCAGGAATTGGCAAAAGAGATACGTCCGAATTCACTTCGAGCAAAGTATGGATTAACTAAAATTCAAAATGCGGTTCATTGTTCTGATCTTCACGAAGAAAGTGTATTAGAAGTGAGGGCGTGTTTAGTTATACACTTTTTCAAGTCAATTTAAGATAGAATATAAATCTTATTTTTTTTAGGTTGAATATTTATTCAAAATCTTGTTGGCGTAATCGACTAATTGGAATAATCTACGATGTCCGAATTCGTTTTATGAATAAAAAAATTCAAAATTGATACTCGTGTAAACAATTTTTACAAACATCCTATTAAATCCTAACCAATCCGATCGAAGAGAAAGTAGTACATATACTGAAAGTGTTTTCACTTCGATCGAGAAATAATTCATTATTGGAAGAGGCTCGCACCAAGATATAATATTTCCAACCCTTCTTATCTTGAAAACTAGACCGAGATGGTCATTTAATATATTTGGTAAGAATCAACAAAGTTTCCTTCTCTCAACTTCATTTTTTTTCTTCTTATAAAATAAGGTATTTTATCCAATGCACCAAGGATAATTTCAACGTTGCATGGAGCGAGTAAAATTTTTACCTAGGCTATAGATGTAGAAAGTTGGTTTTTTATGAACTGAAGTATAATACATGTTTGTTAAGCTTGAAATTTACTCCAAACTTGAGTTTCAAAATTATCTGCATTCTGCATTTTAATTTCCAAATAGCATACTTATTTGATTTATAATGGATTACTGAAATCTCAAATTTTTGGCGATAAAAAAATTTAATAATCTAAGCTGCTCGAGTGATAAGCAATATTCACGCCACAAAGAAGGTAACAGCGCGGTGATAACACAAAAGCGGAAGATATATTTTTCAAACACCACTCGTACTTGAGTATTTTTGCCTAAGGCTACATACTCTATTCAAAAGTCGATCTCCTTTTCTCTTTCTCTATTATGAGCTTTGAGTTTGTACAAAACAGAGTAGACGAGAGAGAAAGGGATAGAGATGTGAACATACTATTTTCACAATGAAAGGTTATCATTAAGGTTATCACGTTAATGCCTAATTAACCCTTGGAGGCACATTGCGCACAAACGAAATTCGACATTTTTGACTACTCGCTCGTTATGAGTACAGAGTACAATATCATAGTATCGCATTGTTAAAAATATAATAAGTTGAGTGAAGTGAGAAACAAAAGACCGTGTCGGTAATTTCGTAACGCGTATAATAGCCTCTCGACAAGTTGTGGTACAGCGCTGATGTGCAGTAAGCTTCAAGTGCACATATATAATATATTATATATGTAGACCAACAACAATCGGCCTCTCTTGCCCCGCAAAACTGCGCTGCGACCCTCGTGTACATGTGGGGGGCAAGCCCTCGAGACACGAATTGACTTGACTTTCTCAAGACGCTATACATACATATATTCATGAGAATACCTCTTTCACTACGAACAAACACACACATACACACACGTGTATGCCTACGTAGCGTATACAAATACCCGTAAAACAAGTACACGGTACAAAAGGCCGCACTTAACCGCATCAAAACCTCGAAAGCCTTCATTATCGACATCGGCCAAAAGCCGCTTGCTGCTGGATTTGTCGTGCGATCGGCCACTTGGCCCTTTTTTTTTGTATTAGCTGCTTTTCTCCTCCCCCACTCGTTCTCTTTCCAAGGCTTACTTATATAGTGGAAAACACCTCGAGGGAGATCAAAATCTGAACGAAAAAGAGAGCTCTTTCCAAGCGTGCAGCGTCGCAACTTTATTCTCTCCTTCTCTCGAGCAATATGTGCGGGCGATATTTATAGGCATCGTCGAGCAACTCGTGGCTTCCCGACTTCAAGTACTTAACTATTAAGATGTTTTCGAAGATGAGAAGAGAGAACATTTTTTAATAAGCGCACTTGGTCGGCTTGTGTCTTGGCCGTTTGAATTTCGACTTTTCATTTGTTCCATCCCTGTAGGATAAGAGAGTTAATGAGAATTTTACCTTGACTAAATAAACTTTATTTCGTAAGAGCGCGTTCAAAGGTTAAATTTTGTTTTTCAATTACTGTACGTATTACGCGATTTTAAGCATAATTGAAGTTTAGAACTTTTCGTAATTCCATCTCGCCTTGGTCGGGTGAAAATGACCCTCATAAAATCGAAACTAATGTAACAAGAAGTTGTAACTCACTTTTTCGAGTAAAATGGGATTTAAGGTCTGATTATTTGAATTGCAGATCTCGATTTATAAATATATTACACTACGAAATCTCAAAAATTTTAATTAACTTTTCGTACGCGCTATACGTCAAAAGTTCAACAAAGACCGGGGGAAATATTTTCCTAGCTCCAACTGTTTATCGGGTAACTTACACGATCAATCTTTGGCCCCTAACGACATCACACCTCGTAATTAAACCAGTCATGCTCGAGCAATGGTCCAGTATTCCAACGATTACCATTTAACACGGGTTCGCAGCAAAATTCGTATGTACATGTACATACGTGAAAACAAGAGGGGAGAGCGAAAAGTGCGTTCGCTCCGACGATTTTCCTCCCGGCAGACATTTCGAAAGCAGTTATATTAAAGCCAAAGATATAATGTACATATCATTGATTTTACCTGTTGCTTTTTGACATCTCCCGTGGTACGTATACATATATAGGCGCACGCCCTAATAATGCAATATCTCGAGAGATTGAAAGGTCATTGTGCTTAGTACTGTGCTGATTGACGACCGAGAGAAGCTGGAATAAAAGATGACTCGAATATCATTTTTTAAAATTACTTTTTTTATTAACCAGAAATAGTGAAAAAAAACTTGATGATTTTTTTAAAGAAAATGTTTGCTTCGAATCGTTGTCAGCTTTTTCAACGATAATCCATACGTACATAAAGCGTAACTTAATAAACGCTACACATATAACAGCATGTCTGGGGCGAAGAAAAAGAAAAATTTGCGCTTACAATTATTTCAATGCGTTGCAGATCGAGCTCCAAGGAGGTTTCTTTCTTTCTCTTTCTCTATAATAAACTCGCGCGTTGCATACAAAATACGAGTTAAAAACAGAGCTCCATTGAAACTCTGGCATCAGCTCGTCGCGCCCTCGAGCTCTTTCAGAAAAGCTTCCTATACACAGAGCTCGCTGGTTTTTATCTTTTTGATTTTCGCTTTAAACGCACTCACATTCTCTCGGCTTGTTTGCGCGCGATGAAGGAGAGTGTAAGGTAAAAAAACCAACGCTATTACGCTCGCAACAACTTTTGTACGAATTTTCAGTTAAAGAAAAAAAATTAACTTTCCGAAATGGAAAAAGGTCCGGCAAATGCCTATTCATCATCCCTTTGAAAAATTTACTGAAAAAAAAAGAAAAAAAAGATTGTTCTTACCTTTTTACATTTCTTTTTACGCTTATTTTTATGACAAGAGAAATAGATATTCGATGTCACGAGTCAGTCTTCCTCCGCTGAAACCGCAATCATTCCAGTCCAATTCATTCCTATTCAATAATTTAAATTTTCCCTCGGCAATACGTATAAAAGGCTTACATAATGTGTTTTGAACATCGGGGACCATTCCGATGATATGTGACTACGGAATCAGCGGAATATGTTTCAGGGCTTAATTACTTTCTAGCCGATAGAAACGATGATATATTCAGATCTGCAGTTTGACCGCTCGTGAAAAATGCATTATTTTGAAACCACTGCGGCGTTAAATGCGATTGATTTTGGTCATAATTTCTCGAATCTTTAACGTTATTACTCGAGAATGCATGCAGCATTTAAAGTCTAATCCACTCGGGAGTTTCGCGCGTTGCAGAGAAAAATATCTACCGAGATTGGCAGCGTAAGCGTGTCAATTTTGTCCAGGTAAGTAGTAAATCAGTAATTCGGTCAGCCACGAGCGAAGACAGAAAAAAAAGACGAGGAAAAAAAAGGAAAGAAGGGCAAAAGAAGAATATGAAAAGAAAGTCGTGTAATTGCTGGCAGTGCATGGCAACATAATGATGGGCTTTTTTCTTTGCTCGTGTCGCAGGGGGGTAGTCGTCGTCGCTCGCGCAGAGGATGGTGTTGGTGGGTTGTATCGCCGAGCTTATATACACATGCACATAGAGACATGCATCTGCAGCGACCGCCCGCATCGTGGCGCCACATTCAACATTATCCAGACACGCTGGCTGCATGTTGGATACGTGTGTGGGTGCAGAAACGTACACCAAGTGCAGCCCCGTCGTATACGTGCACGAATAAGCTCGTCCATAACTCGCCTTGAAGAAATGCAGCAGCAGCAGCAGCGGCACTGCGCTGGAGAAGGACGGCGACGGCGGTGGCGGCGAAGTTGACTAGCGCACATACACACACACACACACACACACACACACACACACACACACAGAGAACGTGTGTATACGACTGCGTAGTGTATATAGGAGATGTCGGTGCAGCAGCTGCAAGCACTAAAAAGTTCCGTCTCTGTCTTTCGCTCGGTGCGCTTTTCCAAGCGAGCACGCGTGCGCCAAAGCAGAGCTCTGGTCTGGCTGGCTGGCCGCCTGCCTGCCTGCCTCCTCCTATAGCACACAGCTGCAGCCGCCGACGCTCTCTCTTCTGCTCGCTGCTAGCAGGGTGTGCAGTGTAGTAGCATCGCGTAGCCATGCGGCCCGTTCGCGATCGACGCCTCTGAAGGCGCGCGCGCGCCTCGCTCGTTTATTACACGTATATACGGTATATATACAGAGAGAGAAAGAGAGAGAGAGAGAGAGAGAGAGAGAGAGAGCCCCCGTGTCGAGTAGAGAGTGCAAGAGAAAGAAACAGAGACACCCCCGCGCTCTGCCTGCGCCTCGTTTCTCACCAGTGCGTGTGCTTGCGTTTGTTTTATTTTATATAGTTTTTGCCTTTTTCGACGACCCCACCGCGAGTGCCCGCGAGTGCTGCGTTTTTATCCTTTCTATCCCAGACGCGCGCGCGAGTGTGTAAATCCGCGTCGAGTATCGAGTGAGTAAGGCGCGCTGCGCTGCGCTGTGTTGGTGTTGCTGCTGTGCTGCCAGTGTCTGCGCCTCTGTGTGCTGCTGCTGCTGCTCTCTCGTGTATATGTGCAGTTGGTGGTGCTTTACTACCGTTGCGAGCGCCGATGCTGCTGCTGCTACTGACCGAGTGACCTCCTCTTCCTTCGAGTCGTCGACGACGCGACTGCTACTACCCTGGTCTAGCACAGCAGAACGACCATCATGAGCTGGTGCTGTCGCTGCTGCGCCAACGAGGGGCCCACGACGACGACGACGACGACGACGACCAAGTCCAAGACCAAGAAGAGTTGCTGCGCCTTGACTGCCTCGTAGGGGGTTAGCGACAAATCACCATCATGAATAAACAAATGAAATATCGTGCCCTGCATCGACTCCTCTGCTCCGTTTTGTGTTCGTATCGAGAGAGATAGAGAGCTCGAGGGAGAGCTGCGTTGAGAGGCGGCAGCGTGCGTAAAACGGGGGTGCTAACGATCCTACGACGACGTCTAATTCAATTGAAGCGTCTGTGTAACACGGCCTCTGACAGCTCCGAACCCGTGTGCGCCAGTCGAACGATTATAGTCGTTAATACACGCGCGTGAAACGATCCTCTGAGTAAACAGCCCATCGCGATTTTCCAGACTCTATCTCGGAACGTGTAATTCGCCCAGCTCGACGACGATATATTTAGTTAAAAGTCACGGTGAGCGACGCGGAGCCAACGTTTCTTGCAATTATCAGAGCGCGCTAGACTTGAGCGAAAATTACACGTGTTCCGCGGGAGATACGTGTAAAACGTTGCGCGTTTTCCTTCGCGACGACGACGAAGACAGGAAGGCTTACGACTGCCTCCGCGTCTAATCTTTTTCTAATGACAAGCGCCCCCCTCCATTACGTAAATCGTTCTCCATCGAACGCGTATCTCATGTATGTACGTGGGCTCGATAAAAATTTTATATTTTTCAAACTGACCGAGGCTTGCATAAAAGTTGCAGACCGTAAAATTGATTCTCCATACGTACGTAACTTTTCGCATGAATTATTCAAGTACACTCGCGAATAGAGCACAGGGCTAAGAAAATTAGAAAAAATGGCTAGAATCATGAAAATGATCCTCGTGCTCGAGTTGCTTTGCGTGAAATATTCGGAAATTTGAAATATTCGTGCAGCAATATTGGATCTAGGCTTGTTATTGTTATTTCACGATAACGCGTCGAAAACGTACGATAAAATTATTGAGAAAAAATTCACATCGAGGGGTATAAAAACGCGCTGAACGTATACGATTTGTGCGCAAACAAGTGAGCAAGCGAGTTCTAAGAGTTGTCCCAAAAAATGAATCTGCATAATTCAAATCGCGATTTAATCGTAACTTTCCAACTAGTTCAAACGCAAATAGATTGCGATGAAAAGTTGCACAGTGCGTTATAAGCGTACAGCTGGGAATTCGAGATATTTAGGAAAGCCCGATTGAGTCGAAACTAGATATATATCATATGACTGACACATTTGGCACATTGAGAAATCCACGGAATTGATTGTAAAAATTTTTCGGACAATTTTTAAGGAAAGGAATTCTCACACGACTTGCATGCATATTAGTAGCCCCGCGAGAGGGTGGGGTCGGGTAATCGGCCAAATATCTCGAGGATCTTCGAGCTAGCAAGTATCGATCGACAAATTTACCCGGAGCACGTGACTCAAAATAAAGTCGCGCTATAATATTAAGCCACCGATGCGTGCGGTCAAAGGCTTCGGTCAATTTACTCGACGTAATGGAAAAATATATTTTACAGGTGAATGCTTGGACGCTCGCTATTTTTCATCAGCAATAGGTTTTTCTTTTTACTTTTTGTTCGGGTAAACATCAGCTCTCACTGTCTCTTTTTCTTTCGTAACGAAACGGAAAACGACTACCGTAAAATTTATTCGCGTGCGTCGAAAAAGAACTGATGCTGCGTTGTGACCACAACTGTAAAAATACAATTTGTCCATCGAGCCTGCATTCGCAAATATTTCATGTTTCCGTCATTCGTAACCGTTTATTCAGCTGTACTAGCTTTTATCAAGTATTTTAAATTATCAAAGTTTATATTGCGAATTGACGATAGTTTTCAATCTATAAATTTTTCTACGCAGTAATAAAAATATTTTAGTTTGTTCAGTGGAGATTTTTTCCGTCGTGTCACCGGGGCTGACGTCGTTTTAAAAAGTCCATTTTAATGAAGTTCAGTTCAATGTAATCAAAAGAAATGCTCGGTGACAAATTCGGTTTAAAAAAGACGTACTCGTAGGCAAGAACGAGAGAGAGAGAGAGAGAAAGGGGGCAGGACGGAAAGACTCGATAAAGTCAAAGCGTGTATAATTCAGGCAGACGCGCTGAATAAATAAAAAGCTCATTCTGTATGATATTCCTTTTTTTCATTTCGCATGCGCCACCGAAGTCGGTCTATCGTGTATCCTGATGTGCATTTTATACACACACACACACATAAGCGCACAAATCGCGTATCAGCGTTAACTATTCTCCCTCTTATTATTCGACGTACGAAGCGCAACGGCGACGACAACGACCAAAAAAAAAAGACAACTTAAGTAGAGCAATACACAGTAGCGGAAACGACACTGGAAGTTGAAACCGTCGAGAAAGAAAAAAAATCTCTGAACGAATTTTTCTGATTTTTCGTTGGGCAGCGAGCGTCACGCAATTACTAACGATCGTCGCTTTACACGCACTTCGGGGACGCGGGGGCAGCACCAATCCAAGCAAATTACTCGACGCACGAGTACCCGTATACGAAAGCTCGAATGTACGAGTAGGGTTTACGCATACGAGGTTTTATTATGTTAGATTCGGGGGCAACGTTAGTTGTAGAATTATGCGAACTGGCGAAGAAGGCGGCGGAGGATGGGAATATATTATAGTTGCAACCTCGACCTACAAACTCGAGGTCTCGTGCGCGCTCGAAACTATAGACTGCGGACGATGACACAAAACAGATGTACATACCTAAACTCAGCCGCGCGTATACTATAGAAAGATGCTTTGGGGTTAATTGTCGCGATATTGACGAGGAAAACGTGTACGTGCGAGTAGCGGCTCGGCATTTAGCCGTGACTCGATTCGAGCTCCGCGTGATTGCGGCAAGTACGCTGAAAAAAAAGGTCAAAACGAAAGCGTAAAAAAATTATATCGAGACTCGCACGCGGTATTGATTGTCGGATAAATCGCTGCTGAAAATATGGAAGTATATACTGGTTGGAGCTCGTGCTCGTTCGAATATTATATTGCGTGCGTGCGCGCGCTTGCGACGGAGTCGAGCTTTTAAAACAGCGCTGCAAATAAATGAAGTCACTCGAAAGTGCGCCCAAATCGAGAGAAATTCCGTACGCTAGCGAGCTTTGTTTCGAGCTCTCCGCTTCTGTATAGTAGAGTACACGGGGGTACACGAGCACGAAGAAGCGATATCTTTTCAATTTCTCTCGTAGATTAAAAGAAATAGCAAAATCGATATGTTCTATGGACTGTGCACAGACTGCGAGTAGCAGCAGCAGCAGCAGCAGCGGTAGAAACGGTGCTATATAGTGCGCGACTGGCAGCACGATGACCGAGTTATCGCGAGACTGATTTCCGACGCGCTATATAATATACAAAACCGTTCTTTGTGCTCGAGAGTCTATTTTTCATCGCCCATATCGATTTCTGTTCATATTTCATCCGTATAACGATGCTCGCGGAGTTACGCGATTAAAAATCACGTTTTTGGAAAAAAATGAACGGTTCGCGTTCGGAGGAGGGACAAGAGGCTCTCGATACGGACGAACACGGTCGGAGGAGTTTTTGCAGGAATACAATGCGAATCGACGGTGAGCGGATAAGTCACGTAGTATGCTTGCTACTAAACAGGAGGCACACCTAGAGGCGAGGAGGAGGGAGGCTCAGCCAGCGACTCGACGAGCAGCTACGAGAGAAAGAGAGAGAGAGAGAGCCCTTCATCTGGAAGGAAGAATCGAAGTGCTACCGTGATCAAAAATTGCGCGCGGTCGGCGATTAGCGGGCCATGAGCGGCCATGTGCGCAGATAGCCGGCCGTACGCAGCAAGCAGCGGACGACGAGGAAGAAGACGCTGGACGTCGTCGACGATTGTCTCGAGAAGAAGACGGAGGAGGACGCCAGAGGCCGGCTCGACGATTAAAGGCCCCGGACATCAATGGAGGCGGAGCTACCGATACCAATCGACAAGCAGACCTTCCTGCAGAAATTGCTCTTCTACACGACCGCGTTCTTCATCCTCCTCGGCACCTTCAGCCTCTTTGCCTTTCTCTTCCTGGTGCCGTTCGTCATTGATCCGGCCTTCACGACGATATTCATGGACTTCGACACGAGGCCCGCCTTGTGCGTCACCATCGATGTCGAGTCCAGGAGAGGTGACGATGATTCGTTTTATTCCACCGCCACTCTAACTTTATTCCTCTCTACGTTGCTGTTATTGTTGTTGTTGATGTTTTTGTTCTTATTGTTATATCGAAGCTCTTGTGTATACTTTCTCTTGACTTCTTTCATCGAACTCGATACAATTCTATATTCTCTCTTTAGAAAATGTATGTATGTATGTATATTTTTGCTACAGTGCAACGAATGACATTGAAAATCCACTCTGTATCCGCATCCGAGAATAACTAACGGAATAGGAAATGCTATTTGCAAGCTATACGATCGAGTGGATTTTTTCTGTCGGCATTGTTCTACATATCTACCGATCAATGTGTACTACTTTTTCTCTATTTTCTACGTGTTCTTCTCTCTGTGCCGCTTTTTATTTTATTTGTATCGCACCGAAACTTTCTCACATCTATACGAAATTTCAAGTCTCTCAACGCCACGGTTAAAGTACACCGCACACGTCTGACTCTATCCTGTTATTCTCTACTTATCCACGCGCTCTTCGGCGTATTATGTATACGGCGTCCGACGTATTCCATATACCTGAATCAGGCAGACGGTCGAACGAACCAGTTCGAGTTTCGTCACATGTAGTGCAGTAACATATATAATATATGATGTCAAACCACGCGTACGGTACGATGTAACTCCATTATCGATCGTGCGAGCACATAAAGTCGCCGCATTTTCGCATTTTCGCACCAAACTCGCCGCAAAATCGAATTATCACAGGTTTAATCATCCAGAGGGTAATTATTGTCAGACTCGAGTAAATTCCTATCGCACGAGCATTGATTCAGTACTAGTCAAAGACATTGGAAACACTTTGTTTAATACGGTTAATGCAGCGTCGTGTACGATATTAACAAATCATTATGCGCAATCTTCGTAGATTAGGCTTTAGCAGTTGCACGCGCGATTCGCATTTGCTGCACGCGGCGCCCTGCTCGACACCGAGTAAAATCAAAAGCCGTAATTTTTGTTTCAATTTCTGACGAATAAATATCGAGTTGCAGTGTACATTAATTTTTTATCGTGCTATCGATGATTTTTTTCCGACGTCCGTTACTGATAAATCGTGCAATTTCGTTGATAATTAACGCGGAAGGAGAAAAAAAATCAAATTTCATTGTGCACGTCGAATATAAAAAGTAATGGTTTAACGATGCGCTATCAAATTGCATAAATTCGAGTAAACGGATGGAAGGATATTCGACATTATAACGACACTAAAGGAGAACATCAATAAAATAAATCGAGCCCGGTGGATACGTATAATGCTTTGTAGAGGCTGCTGTACGTTTTTGGCTCCAAAGCCCGCAGCTTCAATAGCTGCCATATTGCCTGCTTAAAAAGATCTCCGAGCGTTTTGTCTCCAGCCAACATCTTTTATGTAATGTTGCTGCGTTTGCCTACTTTTCCACACTTGGAATTTATACTGAGACTTGAATAGATTTTGTTGTTGTTGTTGTTGTTGTTGTTGTTCAAGCAAAAATGATTATTGTTCGCATTTATTTGTCAAATAGAAAATCTGTGTAGTCTTTTTTATTAATTTGATTCTCCATGATTTTAATCAAATTTTTTCATTGTATATTACCAAATAATTCGGAAATATTTGACCTGGCAAAACTTTCATCGACATTTTCCTTAAATTGAAATTTGATCCACCTCTAATCTATTAACAACTCCATTTACGTTAATCTTCTACGCACACGCATACTATACGATATACCTGTTATGCTATATGCTTGCTGTATTGGCAGTATTTGTCCACTGCGTGCAATATAGTTTTAAGAATCGAAGATTCAATCGTGTGAAAAAAGGTACACCGTTCAACGTCTTGCGAGGCACGTGTTTGATCGCCGCATTAAGGATTTTTAATAAACTGAAAAAATTTCGGTCAAATCAAGAACTTGAGCGTGAAAATTGGCCAAGGAGCGTACTTCCAAGTCGCGTTTATTCCAGTGCAAAGAATCACCGATGCGCGCGCGAGACTCGTATATGAGCGCGTCCAGCATAAGTCGGCCACCCCGCGCGATTACGGCATTTTTGGCCGAAAGTGTCGTATGTTTAGCTCGCTCGGAAACGTTTACCAAGGGTCAGAAAAAAAATCCAAACCCATGGATCGATAGATTTTTTCCTCCTCTTTCTAGTGGTGTAACTCGAAAAATTCTTAAAAATTGATTTTGAGGTTAAAACTCGACTTGAATGTTTAAGTCCATTTTCCCAAAAAATGTATCCTCCGATTTCAATTTAAGTTGTACCAATCGAAAGAGGAGGCAAAAATCTATCGAAAACCATGTTTTCTAGGATGGAGAAATGATAAGAACTATTAAAGATATCGAGATGAATAGCGCGGGACGGCACGCGCGGACCTCTTTTCCTGCCTATATCTTTTCGACTCGCTAAAAAAATGCTGAAAAAATAATTTAAACACGTAAATCGATAGATTTTTTCCTCTTCTTTCGATTGGTAATGTTAATTTTGAGGTCAAAATTGAAATACTAGAAGAAATATTGACTTAAAAATTCAAGTCAAGTTTTGACTATGAAAAAAATTTTTGGGAATTTTTTCAATAACACCATCAGAAAGAGGAGAAAAAAATCTATCGATTTACGTGTTTAAATTATTTTTCCAGCCTTTTTTAAGCGATTACGAGGGAGTCGAAAAGACAAAGACACGGCGCCGCGTGTGTGCCGCCGCTGGCGCACGAAAAACAGGTCCGCGCGCGCCGTCCCGCGCTATTCATCTCGATATCTTTAATAGTTCTTATCATTTCTCCATCCTGGAAAACATCGTTTTCGATAGATTTTTGCCTCCTCTTTCGATTGGTGCAGTTTATTTTGAAGTCGGAGGATACATTTTTTGGATAAATCGACTTAAACATTCAAGTCGAGTTTTAACCTCAAAATCAATTTTTAAGAATTTTTTGAGTTACACCACTAGAAAGAGGAGGAAAAAATCTATCGATCCATGGGTTTGGATTTTTTTTCTGACCCTTGGTAAACGTTTCCGAGCGAGCTAAACATACGACACTTTCGGCCAAAAATGCCGTAATCGCGCGGGGTGGCCGACTTATGCTGGACGCGCTCATATACTTGCGGCTTTTCGTGCATGTACACGTACACGTACACGTCGTCGAATAGCGAGCCAAAGTGTATATCTTTTGGCAAGCGCTTCGCAGTTAGAGAGCTTTATTTTTTCTCCAAAGAGTGGTTGAATTTGAGCGCTTCTGGCCACCGATCGCCTCGTATCGTTGATCGTCGCGAGTGAAAGGTTTTTATTTCGTGGTTTAACATTAAATATGGTAATCGAATCGGCGAGTCGCAGGCCTTTTTTCATCGATAATTGTCTTGATTTAGTTTTTTGATTAAAGTTACAAATTACTTTTCCAACTTCCGAATGCCCCGAGTCGGCCACGGAGTACGAACGCTGATAGTTTCTTTTTTTTTGTTTGCTGGAATCAACAAACTTCGCGCTCGTGCGCGTATAAAAAAAAGAAGCGCCGCTTCGCTTTAACAAAGTATATATAGAAACTCGCGCTGGGAAATGTCAAAAGCGAGAAATGATTGTTTGACGTACGAAAATAAATAGAACGGGCCGGGTTCGATAAAACGAATGTAACGATCTTTCAACAAAGGCATCGCGGAAAGGAGGTCCTCCAGTAGAAGTGTAGAGAGAGAGAGAAAGCGAGGCGGGCTCAAAAGCACGACATGCAAATAGCTATTCGAAAGTAATTTGTATTATATACGTAGCGCGTGGACAAAGCGCGGCAATAATCACAGATAAACTCGGGAGTACATTGCCAAATGGTTCAATTACTACCGATACTTATAGCCAAGTGTTCCGTTTCTTTCTCTCTTCTCATATTACATATATCGATCCAAATTGTGGCGCTAAAAAGGAGGGGGCTAACATACGCACTTGAATAGGAATGGGGCTTGCACGCAAAGTTGTTATACTCCAGTTAGCGAGCGCGTTTATTACTAAACATGTTATTATGCAAATCCGACTTTTTTCTCGCGAATATAGCCTTAATTGGGTCTCGCTATAGTCGCGTCAAATAAAGTATACGTACGGAACGACAATGAAAGCAACAAAAAACGAGAAAGAAAGGAAAAAGACAAAGTTATACTCCGCGCTAGATTGTCTCGGCAATTTAAGCGTAAAAAACAATTTATACGAGAGGTACGAGAATCTCGGCCCTGTCTCGGCGCTATGGGGGGAGCCGCGTGCCCGAGACTATTATAGCGAGCGAGCCGCTATGCACGCGTTTGCGCACCAGCAACAGAGAGACGAGTCGACATTATTAAAATGATTTAAGGACGGTTACGAAGCGAAGTATAACGACTCCGATACAGTCCAGCAGGAGCGGTATAACGGCTGGCGAGGCCAAAAGTGCGCCCTTATACGCGCGTATCTCGAGAGCTTAACGCTTATACGTGCAAGGAAGTTCGTTAGCCGCGCGGAGAATCGTGGCGCGAAATATTACATCGTACTTATATGACGAGCGACGAGCTGGCCTTTATCGTTAGCAGCAGTCGAGCCATTGAAAATAGCTTCGAACGAAACGTCGATATACGTGGAGCTGCTGATGTCAAATCAAGCCAATTGGAATCATTTTTCTCGTATCTCTCAATTGTTTTATTTTATAAAAAATATATATAAAATAACGAGATGTTACGTAATTATAGCAACGTAAAAAATTGTACGCTCACAAACATATATTGCACAGCGGTCCGACACGCGCCTAGAGACAGACGCGAACAAAGTTGTCAAGGTAGGTGACGACAACGCAACCGTTGAACGAAAAAAAAAAGAAAAAACTCCAACACTCGAGTTGCAATTGAAATAGAGACTTTGTCCTACGTGGCCAACTTCGTATATATATGTTACACGTGTGTATTCGCGAGGCTTATACGAGTGCGATGTTTTCTACAAAGGGCCGCTATTTTGTACCTCTCCAGCTTTTTTGACAAAATCATATCTAGGCTTTTCTCTCTCATTTTGCCTGCGTCGTAGATCCTTGGTATAACTCTCTCGAGTCTCAGTCGCTGTTTCCGAAAAATCTACTCTTTCTCTGCACAACGACCCTTTATTCTTTCTCTTTTCCTCTTTTTCTGTGTCTGCATATAGTATCGTACACGTGTACGCTTCTTCTCGTCACGATCGTCTATACTTTCTAAATGGTTGCACACACGGCTCTTTTGCGTTTATAAGACTGCTTATAAGCGCGAAAGAGAGATGTCGAGAGCGTAGGAGAACAAAATTTTTTGACCGTGGATCTGCGTATGTGTGTATGGAAACTAGGTACGAGCAACTGCTCCTGGACATCGTGTAGGGAAGGTTGCACCAAGGAGTTGTTCGAGTGCACGCAAATACGCGTGAATTACAAGCTGCCCGTCAACTTGACGGCGGAGCAGCTGGAAGACGACGGCGAGGCACAGGTGCTCGGAGGTGTCGGGAAGGACGAGGCCGTTGGTAAAAGTAAAGTCGGCAAGCGATCGTTGCACGATTACGATTACGTCGAGGAGTACGAGGACGACGAGCACGAGGACTACGAGGAAGAGGAGATCACCGATCCGAAAGCTCCCACGAGGTCCTTTCCGACAGGTACTTCATTCACAGACAGTATAAAAACCGCACGATTTCGATGCCCGATGGAAAAGTTGACAAAACTATTTTTCACTCGCGAGCGCGTCTGGGTACTTTGGAGAGATGATCGATGGTCAAAATCGAAAGAAAAATTTGCTCGAAATGGTGCAGTTTGCGGTAAGGGCGCAGCTGGCATTAAAAATTGAATATTTTAATTGAAATTCTCCATTTGGAGGAATAAAATTCTGAATAAATTTATAAGAAGCGGTGCGCTCTCTGCGCTTTTTAAAACGGGCACGAAAAGCACCCCGAACGCGGGGGGAGGGGTGTGCGCGAGCTCTTATATGAAAAGAAAAATGTCAACTGAAAAGTTTGAAAATTTTGCCGATCCACCAAGGTCTCATGGGAAACGACTCGGAGTGGTACTTTATGGGAGCGAAGCTGTTTCCGAACGTTAAGGGCTGCGGCTATCCACCGATGCTTAACTGCACGATATTCGTCAGGCAATACGCCAACATCGGGCAGAACTTTAGCTGCTACTATTCGAAAGTTGATCCAGGAATAGTCATCAGTGACCTCGACATGTGGCAGGTCTGTGTCTATTATTACAAGTCTTTCGAAACTTTTTGCTTGCCTCCTTGTACCAATTTCTTCGAGAGCAATTTAACGAGCATGAAAATTCAATGTTGCCCCCGCGCTCCAAATACAAAAACAAAGAACGAAATTGGCAAGAAAATCGAAAGTTTAATGAAAAAATGATTTCGTCTATCTGTTGGGCGCGTCGATGATGACGATAATCAGGTTTACATGAACCTGGTTTACGCAATGGCCATTCCCATACCGTCTTTCATAATCGCGGTGATCTACTTGACGATCGCCTACTTCAAAATCTACAATGAGGACGAGGCGGCGCTAGCCAAGGCCGCCGAAGCGGCCACCGCCGCCGAGGAGGGAGGACTCGGCCCCGATGGCGAGAAGATCGTCGGCGACGACGGGGCGACGCCAGTGCCGCCGGTGGGCGGCTGCTCGGACGAGGACGAGGACGTTGCGGAAGGCGCCATGACGCCCACGAGCTGCAGCGACGCCCTGGCCAGCTTCGGTCACGAGCTCAAGGTCGCCATGGTCGACGACAACAGCAGAGAGAGCCTCGATGGTATACCCGATTGTTATTCGGTGCAAGGGTAAGCCACAATTGCAAAGAAAAACAAACTTATTTACGCGTGTGTATGTATCTGCATGTGCATTGGCATGATTTAACTGCTTTGCTGGCAAGAGAAAAAGAGTGCAGCATCCATACGAACGGATAAATATGACTCTGCGAAAACATTTTTTCTCTCCAATTTTTAAGACACGTATATTAACTGTTGCAATAAATCCAGATGCACTTCAACGACTCGCGCATAAAAGTCAACGCGAAATGAGATAACTTAATGCTCGTGGCCCTTATGTACACATTGCGAGAGAATAAAACTGCGTTTACAAAACAGCGAAATCAACTTTATTTTTTTTCTCTCTCTCTCTTTCTTATGTTGGTTTTTCTTTTCCCCCACGTCTTATCACAATGGTTAAGCTTGAAAAGTGTAGTCAGTCGAGCTTAAAATCACGCGTATACATTGTATGACCGCAACGACGAAAGCCATACAAAGTCAGACGTGTAATACTAAAAGACGGAAAAGAGAGAAGAGAGAGAGAGAAAGACTAGAGTTTCAAGTTGTTATTGTCATTTGGCTTTCCTCGTAATGCAATATAGACAATAGACACTATATACCCTCTTTGTAAATCTAGTTTTTTTTTCCACAAGCCTGTCGACGGTTCGATGACTTATTAGCGTGTCCCAATGAGAATTTATTAAATCGTATTTTTCTTTCGGGTCGTAAATCGACGTAATTTCGCGAAAACAATGTGCGATCGCATCGAGCATGAAAAAACAGATCCTCGAGCTTTTAGTATGCAGAGTTACTTTTCCGACCAAATCGGAGAGAGATAAAGGATAAACATTACACCCAAATAACCGAGCATACTTTTTGCACTCGTGCTTTCCACGACATTACATACCTAGTGAAGTATTGCCACAGGCGGGTTCGTAGACTTTGCATTCTCTCACTCTTGTACCTACTTACAATTTACACGGAGAAATATCAAATGTACGTAGTTGCAGCAGACTTCGAGGCTTGTTCATGCATACACATATTGAGCGTATATTTTTGGTACATAGCCTCGTGTTTACAGACAACGAATGCAAGTAGTGTACCCATAAGGATACCGGGACATTCCCTGAAAACCATCTGTAATTAGGAGTAGCAACCCCCTATTTTGTTTATAATTTTTAACCTCTAAGGGTTGTTTATAACAGCACCACTAGTGGATGTTTATAAATAATTATAGTTAATTGTTTATAAAAAATTGATTATAAGTTTTTCCCTAGAGGTCAATGATCAACTCTGATGATAAATGTTTATGATCATTTGTGGTTAATTGTTTATGAGAAATTTGTTTATAACACATTGGTTATTATTTTTTCTACCCTCAAGTCAATGCCTGTCGGCGTCGCTTTCCTCGAGTCAATGCGTGTTGGTACCACTTCTCGAGTCAAGTCGAGACGCTCCCCACTCCCCGAGTCAATTCGTATCGGCGACGCGCATCCACTCGAGGAACACCGGCATGTATTGACTCGAACAAATTATAAACAATTTGTTATGAACATTGTGAACAATTAACCACAAATTATTATCAACATTCATCATGAGGATCATCAACCCTATAGGGATTTGTCATCAACAATTAATTATACTTGCTTACAAACATCTCCTCAGGGGTATTGTTATAAACAAACCTCGGGGAACAAATTAGAGCTGTGTAATAACTATAAACAAATTAGGGGGTTGCTACCCCCAATTAGGGGTAGTTTTTAAGGGGATGTCCTGGTATTCCTATAGGGGTACTACTAGTGCGTTCAGCAGTTAACATTATTTGCGCATTTCAACGCGATTAACAAAATTACTAATCGAGCTTTTATTGATACTGCACGACTATGTACATCTTTCATTTATTCTATACGTTTTTGATTTTCCTCGCGTATAACTGTCTCATCATCGATTTTATAGACCTCGTCGAGCTTTTACTGCTACCATTACTGTATTATTTATATCCCTCTCGACTCGAGGATGTTTTCTATCTTTCATTGGAAAATTGGATGAATTATATGGATAAAAAAAACCTTAGCGAGGTAAGAAAAAAATCTTGCGCAGCTGCTTGACAAGCAAAGAGCTGAAGTATTAACTTCAGCCTGGATTTGCTCAAACCTCTGCGTTCTGAATTACTTGTGAAAAAATTGAGTTTAAATATATAAGTATACCGGACAGTATGGTCTCGAGTCCGTCAATAATGGAATACTAGCTTCGTAGCACGCATATTACTGTCCTTTTACCAGTGCACACGAGTTTATTATCTGCTCAACTCGTCCGTGCGTATACTATATATAAATATCAATTATGCAGCGAGTAAAAAGGGTCATGGTCCGACTCTGCCACTTGGTGTTTATAAGAAAATGTCGATGCGAGCTATTTTTAGACAAGATACTATCTGAAGACAACTACTTACTTTTTTGGTTTGAAAAACTATTTTCCGAAGTTGTCAAGTAGGGCAATAATTGAAACAATTGTTTCTTGCGAGTACGTTATTTTTTTGATTTGTAAGCCCAATTCTTTTTTCTATTATCTTGTAAGACGAAATGATATACTGGCGATAAAAAATTGGTTGTACTTTGTGCAAGTAAGAATGAATATACTGTTTGAAAAAATAAATTTGCAAAGTAAAATCTGAGAATAAAACAAAGAGGAAAAAGAGATTATTAAAAACTGTCAATTTCTTTAAGTACACTCGAGACCATCGACCACGTAATCGACAGAATTTTAAAAAACGTTAGACTTCCTGATTTTTCATTTTCATGAAATTGATGCAATACAATGACTTTACAATTCATCTTAACATAAGCTTTAATTAATAAGAATGAATTTTTCTAAAAAATCGAAATATTGACAGGATTTACTGAAAAATATTGAAATTTGAAAAAAAAATCTATTCGATCTGCCGGTAAATCCCACCTGAAACCAACTAGTAATTTACTACAAAATTCGTAACATGATCAGTAAGTTCGGGCATGCGAGTTCCATTATACGAAACAAAGCATGAAGATACCTTTCATCGACTGTATCATGCATACATTTGCGCAACTAAAATCGCGAAGACTCAAAAGTTCACGCATGTGATCCATTTCTTTGAAATATTCTTCTTAATTTAGGTTTGTAATGGGATGCCTACACGTATCTATGCTGTATTAAGCTTTGAAGCGAATAAAATAAAATTATAGTATCACTTTTGATGTAAATCGTACTAATTACGATTTTATAAAAAATTTTTTTTGTCTTTCACAAAAATAAAAAAAACGATTCCCAATCGACTTGACCAGACTCAAGCTCGAATATTTTATTGACTGCTATTCGGGCATGCGAGCAAAATAACATGGTCGGTTGTGATAAATGGGGACGTTGATCTATAACTGCATTACGATTGTCGGTACGATCCCTTCCACATTGAAACTCGACACGAAAAGATTTTCTTAGTCTAAATTATTAGAATTAATACAAAATTTGAATAAAATACTTGTTTCGCTCATCTTCCAAGAGCGACACAGACCTTGAATTGAGAGCATAGAATAAGAATTCGAAAATACATATGAGTAAATCTCAATATTTTTGTGTAAACCTAAAATATACCTTTCCTCGCATTGTTAACGTTAAGTTTTCAACTTTTTCTTTTCTAGAGAACAACTTCCAGTGGGGTCCAAACTTGAATTCATAAAAAAATGCAATTTATAGCGTTTTTTATGCGTTTTGAAATGCAACGCATCCTATTTTTAATTTTCAAATTCTGATTCCCGATAGGCCCATCGGGCTTTTTTATCCAAACCATCACCAAACAATCCTCAGAAAGTAAACTTTCGAAAAAAATGTCACTGACTGGTGTGCGTCGCCTTCTACACTCTTGAGAAAAATTCAACTCGACTTTTAGTTTTTCAATGATTTTTCTACAAAATCCCAATATCCCAATTGGCCCCACCATGAATCATCACGAAATCACGGGGAAAAGTAGTTTTTGAGTTGCATAATCGAGTGGTATGTCTATTTTTGATGTGCGTGCTTTGTAAAAAAGTTATATACGATATAAACATGGGTTTTGCCCGCGCCCATTGTTGATTTTGAGTGCATTTTAATCGAATTTTGCGATGCACATCAACAGTTTTACTTAAAATGGCGCAATCTATATTGCCCATTTTAGCTTTCGACATTTTGGAAAAGATAACGCTATGTGTTTCTTTTTAAATATCAAAAAATTAAAATTTTAACCAAATTTAGGAGCAAATATTGTCCATCAATATGGTATAAAATATGGCTCATCAGCTTCAGCTTTAACATGTACTTTTTTAAATCTTCGAAGGCCCTCACCCAAATTTTATGGGCACTATTTTTTTCAGGTTTCTGAATCACTTGTAAGTCCCCAAAAAAATTTCACGAGTGTGCTTTAAAAAAAAAAAATTTTTTTTTTTAATGGTAAATATTAAAATTTCATAAGATTTACTCATATAAGATATAGAGTCATCGTTGGTTACTGTTCTAGTTATTTGAAAATTTAATAAAGCCACCCTCGTTAAGCGTATAGACACACGCACGCACGATGCACTTGTACAATTCGACAATGAGCACAAGAGAGAAAGTAAAGCAAGTGGGATGAGTTTGCCATGCCGTGATTATTTACCGAGAATTTGCAGCCCATTGATTTCTAGCTAAGGCTATATTGGGTTTTGCATACATTTACGACTTTACGCCCGTATATTCTGCCTACTTTTCATAATTTTTGTTGGAACGATGACAATGCTATTCGTTGGCTGAGCTATTGCCCCATCCGTGAAAGAGTTAATTTTTTCCTGTATCAAGTTTTTCCGTCGACAACTTGTGCATTGGCACGTAAAGATGCTCGGTTTCTCATTACATTTTACGACGGACGTATAATTTTGTCGAGCTCTTTCCTTGCGACGAGCATGCATAATCAAAGCAGAATAGACACGGCGCGTATATAGGACACGCGCTGGCACATATATTTAAATAACCGCTTTTTTTTATACTCGCGCGCAAAAAAGGCCTCACATTACAGGCCGCTTATTGAGAATGAATGAGTCAACGAGGACTCGAAGCAACCACGTATACTCTCCGCTGCTCAATAATTCACGTTTTTCCCATTAGCATTTCTCCATTCGTGTTTTTGTACACACGGACGATTCCAGTTCTCCATTTGTAAAAATTACCCGTCGTATTTTTTTTTTTTTTTCAACAAACCGATTGATTTGTATCGCTCGCTACGCTTTTTTCGATTTCGTCGGTATCGGTTCGTCATTGTTTTTGTTCAAAATATTCCCACACAAGCTGAAGGAAAAAAAAGCATATTCGAACGAATAGAAAATTTATCATTAATCAGAGTGAAAGGCTCGAGCAAGTTTCCCTCGCGTCAAATGCGAGAGCAAAAAAACAAGAGAGAAAAGAGAGAAAAAAAACATCGATTCGCAACTCCCCGTGGGCCCGAGCGCCTGAATCGTAAAGCTAGCCACGTTCGCTACTCTGCCCTCGTACACGGAGAGCCTCGGACACGCGCGCATTTGCACCCCTGCGCTCATTCTATATGCATTTGTTTCTCTATCCGAGTTGCATTGTTCACAAGACTTTTGCACTCGCGCCACGATATAAAATTCAATTTATAAAAGAATCGCGCAGAATCATCGATGCGGCTATGTATGATTGTGTATTCGTAATGCGACGAATCAATCTTGTAGCTCGGAGGCTGCAACGTCGGCCGGCTAATAAACAGTCGTAAAATTAATGCCGACCAGTTTATTACAGGGTGTAAGCCTTCGATGCGGTGGTTCGGGCGACTCGGCGGCGTAAGTCAATATCGCGTCGGGGTTGGAACTTAGCCGCAAGTATACAGTTACAGCACTGCGGTGTGCACTGCTGTTTTTCATCGCCCGGCCCGATAAGCCGAGTATCGCGCGCGAGCCAAGGTGGCGGCGGCGGCGGCGGCGGCGGCTCCTTATAAATTGATGCAGCTAGCAAACTGACGGTCGACTTCAAGCACTCGATGGCTTCTCGTTATTTTCAAGCGATATCCCCCTCCTCCTGTTTGAACAATTTTTCATCTTGATTAATGTCTTTCGTACGTATACTTTGATCGGCAGAACATCAGTATTATATATAATTTTTGATCGCGTATACACGCGAGAGTTGCTTCGTGTACTCGGCAAAAAAATGTTAAGTAAAACAGAAAACGGGCGCGCAGCGAATGACTAACAATAACGTATAAGAGCATCAAGCTTTCACAGTACCTATACGTAATGATAAAATCTCGAAGGCAGAAAAAGCTCTAAGCGCATTGAAGTAGCCTATATCTCGGCCTTCCATCGAGCCCAAGTTGCGTGAGAAACGCAATTCTCTCTATGCACGTATACATAACGTGTATACACATAATCCTTGCATTCTTACTTAACTCGTGCATTTTTCTCTCTCTTTATAAATATGGGCGGCCAAAGGAAGGGGCAAAAAATTTAATTTTTCCGAGTACTATACTGACGGATCGAGTGAGATTATGATGAAACTCCGCTACATAAAGTATAATTGTGACACATTCGCGAATTAATCTCCTACATTTTTTAATCCATATGTATAAATGTTCTTTTTTTCCATTTGACTGCATTATTGAATGCACATAATGCAACTTTAATTTTCCCGCTAGCCGACTCGCGATGATAGTCTCGTGCTCCGATTTTAAGCCCCGAGCTCTGCAGCTTTGAAAAATCGATTGTGACACTTATATAAGTTCAAAGTGTTTTTATGTGTGTCGAGCAAACAAGCTAATATCATACTTTTTTGTCTTTTATACTCTTCGCAGAATTAACCGTTTTCTCTTTTTGGAATTTGCAGAAACTTGAGCAAAACGATGACGACGAGTATCTCAACGCCACCTGGGCCGACGGCAACAGTCTAAAGCGCAGCTATCAGGGCTTGAAGGACATTTCGTACAGGCCCCGTTAATCCGGACGCCTGAACTTGGGCTGTAAATTCGACGGACAACCAACAATGAACAGCAGTTTTAGCAGCTTCCATCTACGCCTTAATATAATACACGTAATTTTCATTAAACAAAAGAAATAATAATAATAAATAATAAAATAAAAAAAAACGCCTGTACGCGCGCTGCTGCTACTGCTATACTCGCATTATAATACCGCTGCTGCAACGAAATATTTTTTCACTACTTCGATGAAAAAGAAAGGTAATAAAGCGGCAGAGACATTTTTTGTGGGTGTTTAAGAGAGTGTGAATAATAATTGTATGCGTGAAATTGTGTTGTATTGTCGAGCTGATCAAACAACAATAATAACAACGACTCAACTGGCAAATACTAGTTTTTAGCTGAATGAAAACCAAACGCGATTAATCGATGTAAGATACCGACAAAAATGATTGTATTTAAATAGGCTTTTATGGGGTATAATTCTTATATTGAGCAGAGTCAATTGGAAAATCATTTTGAAAAGAATCGAATCGCTTACATTAATTTTTATACGTAGCACAAAATAATTGTTTTCAGTTACATTCAGTTTCATCAGTTACATCAAAATTCAGAAGTTTTAGGCTGTGTGCACGTAAAAGTGTTTAAATCTTCATAATGTGCACTCGTAATTTAGAGATAAATAAAAAAATATTCATGGTTGAACTACGTACATCGTTTCAGTAGTATAGGTCGATAAAAAAAAAAGAAAAATACAAATTTTTTTGGTTCGTTTGTTCGCACAGTTTTATCTGACTCGACACATGCAAGCCTACAGGGATCGAGCAAAAAAGCTCTCTGCTGTTATTGATAATTATAAAAAATAGAAAATAAGTCGATCACAAAATTGCGCGGAGTTACCTGTTATCACAAAGTTTGAGAGCGGATGCATGCAATAATTGCCATCGCTCTCAATTCATGCTATCATCATTCCATTAATGTACATGCATTTGAGCACGCACGTGTACGTAATATACGTTTGAAATTGTAAATATAAGAAAGGAAGGGGAAAAATATGTCGAAAGCAATCGTTAAAGGGAAGACTCTTTTAATTCGGTCAGTTCGGTAATGGAAAAGAATTGTATACATGCCACTCGATATTCCGTTTTTTTCTCTCATGATGTATAGATATATTATGGATTGGATTTGAAGGCAAGCAAAGAAAGAAAAAAAAATCATGTTCATAAGTTCATCGTTCACTGAACATTTTATAAATATGAATAAAAATACAATACAAATAACAAATCACAATATATGACATATATTTTTTCGGAAGCAATAAATGCCACGTATGTAAATATATACATATAAAAATTAAAATCTTAAGCTCTATTACGACAACATGAGTTGTATATGACATTTCAACCAAAGATAATAATATATTATATATATGATTATGATATATGATGTGTATATGCATGTTGAGCATTCTAAAGGTAACTGCCATTTTCATTATTGCCAGGTGTATGATATTATACCATATTATATATTATATGTTATACGTTTTATTAAAATTTATTCAAGTGCAGATGACAAGACGGTGTTACTCGATTGTTGCGTGTAAATAAAACGGAGAAAAGTAAATTATAACATGGCGTTATTGTTGAGAAATTTTACCCAAACAAAAAGTATTGCTTACAATCGTCCAAACTGAGGCTTTTTCTGCATTTTTATGTCAAATTTTTACTATTGAATGTTGAGTCAAACTTAAGAAGGTGAGGCGGTGCAATGAATGTTTTTTGGCGACGTTTTTTCTAAAAATGACTTCTTATAATGTTGCATATACGACTCATGAGATAACTGACTTTTTTATTGTAAAATACTTTGATAATTTTTTCCCTCTGCGACGAGTGACTGTGCGCTGTCTTTCGATCATTTTTGGCTATGTGAAACAATATTGTTTAAAAAAAAAGAAAAAGTTATCACACACGGAAGACTAACCAATGTGTTCGAAGAAGTATGCATCCCTTTACACACACAACTCCGGAACGAAAATCCAAAGCGGCACGTTTTATTGTAAATTGAACATCAAACTTTGTATTCGCTTCGCTGAAAATAATGACTTCTCGAATAATCATAACAGTATAAATGAATTACTCATCCAAAGTAACCGTATTGTGTGCAAAATTAAAAAAATCCACAAGTGTATCCTAAATTGTGAACTAGAGCAGATGAAAAAAAAAACATCATTTAAATAATAAAATATGTGCAAAATAGATTGAATTACTATAACATAATTATACTTAAATATAAATGCATATGCTCTACCATGATATTTTTATACTCAATATAGCAAACAACGTGAGATTTTCATGATTGTAATTAATTTTCTTTCTCTCGAAAATTTGAGCAAATGAAAAACATGTTCGAAAATTACATTAGATATTTTACGATCTACATACTTTGAAGCGATAAAAAGCAGAAAATTACCTCATTTGACAAGTGTGCGCACATTAGAATTGTAACACAAATAGCTCACACGGTATATGATTCGCATCGTAGAGGGTACATCCTGGTAGTTTTCGCATATTTTTTTATGAAGTAATAATGTGATAACAACTAGACAAATATCTTCTTTAACTGCAACCACATTTCTTTTTTCCATGATATATTATGTAACACAATGTATGCTCGAATTTTCACGTGTAGATTAAAAAAAAAATCATTTAAAACGCGTACAAAAACACGTCGAGAAATAAACTAAAAAAATTATAGGGTATTATGAATGTTGTAGGCAGAATAAAAAGCAGCTCATTAGTATATTCCACCTACACTTCGTGAATTATAAAGTATACAGAAAATAAAATCACAATTTGCATGCAAGCAGATGATGGATATAGTAATACATTACCTATACCGAATGCCTCTACGGTCGAGCAAAAAGATCGAGTTGTTGGCTTTTACAAGGCACTGCTGAGTCAATAGATGTACAGGACTGGCTGCTTGGCGAGCCAGTAACAACGCACGAGTGTATCAATCGATTTTGTGAATTCCATTCGGATTTTTCATTCCGATGATAAATAAATTACTTCGAAAGCAAAAATTATTATAGATTATACAAACACGTTTGCAAGGATGATGGAATTAAATCAATTCAAATTCTATAAAAGCGCATTTAAAACGATTATACAAGGCACGAGCTTGCAGTGTATAATCTGGTATGCTAGATTTTTACTCAATTATTAACTCTAAATATAACGTAGAAATTAGTAGGGTAATTGTCATATTTTAGAGCAACAAACTAAAAAATTTTAAATGAATAGAAAAGTACTAATTGTTCGAAGTCTTAATAAATTTTATAAAAACAAACGAGCCACTAACCATTCGAATTTATGTTTAACATCGTTTAAAAATGTTTTTGGTTTATAAATAGCCTTTCTATGTAAAGAAATAATATTATAACCATAACAACAGAGATAATGAGTGAAAGAAAACACAAAGAAGATGGACATTTCAATGAAACATACACAAAGCGATGAATTGAAAATTTTATAATTTGGATGGTTTCTTTCTGTAATGGCTTGTCGTCGGTCGTCAACGCAAATTTTTAAAATTAAAACTGGTGCACAATATTATGCATACGCTTATTGAAATTTAATATTTTATTCACTAATGAAAGATCAAATTCTGCCGAGAATTATTCTTTGAGCTCTACCTACATAAAAAAACATACATGAATAAAACAAACTTTGAGAGATATTTTTAAGAAGTTTTTGCTAAAATTTTAATCATCTCGAGTACTGAAATGATATTATTCCTTTATAAATCGAGCCAACTGATATACATGAATTTGACTTTTTCCGTATAACTTTCGCCGTCCAAGGACTTTTATTTTTCGTGCGCGCTCACACTCGATAAAATGGAAAAACAAAAATATAAAACTGAAATATTTTTGACTAATGAATTATGTACACGATAATTACATTTACGAACGTCTATGCTAGCTTGCCAACTTGCCAAGATCGAAGTCCTTTATTTACTGAAAAAACGTCCGACGTACATCCAGTATATGATAATGAATTAAAAGAAATAATTTCTACTTCACACACGCTTCTCAAAGGATATATTATTGATGATGTATCGAGAAAAGATAATTGTTTTTATGACTTAAGAACAAGTTGTCTGTGATCTACAATAATAAAAAAGTTACAAAAAAGGTAATGGAAAATAAGTAAGAAAATTAAGGAAATTATAATGGAATGTTTTACTACAGTAAAGCACGCATCGCCACAAACTATTTCGGGAAGTACTAAGAAAAAAACATCGCGAGAAATTTGAATATTGTACGATTTTGCGAAGTCACGTAAATTTTTTAAAAATATTCAAGTATGCATAAAGCTTACTAGGTGCAAAAAAATATGAAAAAAATTAAACATTATTATACTTAGCCAAGTATAATAATTATTAATCAAATCTTATATGCTTTGATATATTTAGTGTCTCACATGGAAACTTTAATCACACCCAGCCTCCTATAATTATTCAACTGACTTACTGAAAAAAAAAGTTTTTCAAGTGCAGTTACTCCAAATTTTCATTTTTGGTATTCTTTTAACGCAGTGGTTATTTTAAAAAAAGGAACGAACTTAAAATGTGTATTGTTTTTTTAATAACATTACAGTACTTTTGTCATGCAAACAAATAAGAATAAATTTACCAGTGACATTATTATTATTATACTTTATGAAGATTGTATTATACTTACATTAGAGAAATATCGTGAAAGGCATTGTGATGCAATTTTTGTACCCACTTCAACACGTAAATAATTCATATGTCATCGTAAAGTTTATATTCATGTACATTCAATCCATATGAATCTTCAACGCATCTATGAACCAAGAAAGGACTTCGCGTGAATGTGTAAAAATGGCTTTACTTGCGATAAAATAATAAAATGCTATTAAAGCTTATGTGTGATTTTTCATTCATTTATTAAAACCCTTGGTATGTTTGAAATAAAAAAACAATATTTTGGTTAAGATATACTTTATTTAAAAATCAATCATAATTATAATAATAGATACAAGCATTAAATTTGAAATTCTTCCATACCCATAGAAATGAAAAAAGCTTACCTAGAACAAAAAAAATCGTTTCATTATTATATGTTTTAAAACTGCAGAATATTAATTTATTAATAGTTTGTTTTTCAGAATTTGAACGAATAGCTTGTCATCTCGAAATTCAGGACTCTAGCCAATGATTCATCATTTGAAGGAATGTTCATACAATTCAAGTTTTTAAATACTATTTTTATTAATTTAATTATTCAAATTACCTTAATGAATTGTTCATCCAGCGTTCTCCCGTGATGGCATGATGGAACTGGAATTACAATAATGTTTCATGAAAATTCAGCATAAAAAATTACAAATAAGATATGTAAATCCAATTTTTCAGATTAAGTTTGGCATCAATACTTTCAGCCCCGAAAGATGGTTAACAGAAAATATCATCATATTCGTTATATAAAGAGTTAAATTAATCGAAAAAATTCTATTAAAAAAGTTAGAAATTATATTTACCTCTGTAACAATTAAACGAAGTAAAGCTTTCTGGTTCCTCCTTTAATTTGGTTTATTATTGATATCTGAAACAATAGAAATTATTCATGAAGTATTGATGATTGAAGGCTGAAGAAATAATACAATATTATGAATTTGCTTCAGATAAATTTTGGCATCAATACTTTCAGCCCCGAAAGATGGTTAAAAATAATATCATCATATCATAGAATACTGGATATAATTTTCCAAAATTTTTTCAACTAATTGATTAAAAAATAAATGTATTTACCATTAGACCTTCAATTTCCATAGTCGATTCCTGCATATTTCCAATAAATGAATAGCTGTAACGATAAAAATCATTATCAAATACGGTCATTATATTTTATTACAGGTTACTAAAATGACATTATAAATAAGAAGCTTCAGATAAATTTTGGCATCAATACTTTCAGCCCCGAAAGATGGTTAAAAATAATATCATCAT